AGTGAAGGGGACACCTCTTTGGAGAGCGGCTCAACCAATTTATCGAACAGGTCGACCACCTTGCGTGGCTTAGTACGACGAGGAGGAACCCAAAATGACGAACCAGGCACAAACGGAACCCAATCAGGAGTCGATCGCTCAACGATAATCCTCTCTACAAAATCGTCCAGCTTCCTAATAGCAAGAACCTCTGAATCAGCCCCGAAAGAGGACGATTCAAGGTCAATTTCGATGAACTTGGCCTTACCAGAACGTGTAGAGCGGTTCCGATGACCGAGAACAAAGGAAGACGGAATCAACAGCAATATCTTCAAAGGCGCAGATTGCAACTTGGAGGAAATGAAAGATTGCGATTGAGACAAAATTCGAGCCATCCGAAGAACCCAGATGAAATTCCAACGCTACAAATCAAAGAATTCTCACCTTTCTAACCTTTTCGCTACGGGTGTGCGAAGAACTTCAGATCCCAAGACGAGTATTCTGAATTTTTCCTTTAGTTCGACAAATATTTAAGATTAGAACTTGACCTCTTGGCAGTATTTATTCCAGTTGAGTTACTACTCCCAAAAATAATTTTTTAAAAAATACTGATTTATCTGAAATAAATATATATATATATATATACACAAACATATTTTTGTAGAGTTATTTGGAAAATAATTAAAATGTCTTAAATTGCGCCGAAAATATTGCCGGTGTTTGTTTACTGTCGTGTGAACATACTTAAAATAGGAATTTGAGTTGTAAAAATGTCAAAAATTAGAAATACCTATTTCCATTTATGAACGTTTTTTTTATTTATATTTTATTAATTATTTTTTTGGGAAATTGCCATTTTTAATTTTTCCTCTATATTTTTCTTTAGAGCTTTCCCGTTTGACCTTGACTAACAATATTAATAATATTTTTATAATTTGTTTAGGACAAAAATAGTGTGAATAAAACATCTGATCTGTGATGTCCCACGTTCGTTGGGAGGAGAACTAAGTTTACGTAAACTAAGTTTTAATATTTTATATTTTAAAATTATGAGATGGTTTTATTTTTTAAATGAGGGATTTGTTAATATATACAAATTTATTTATAACTTACTTGAATATTAGTATTTGTTTGTGTATTTTTAAATTTATTTATAAAATATTAGTATTTATTTATTTATTTTTAATTTGTATATTTTCATTGGATTCTTTAAATTTCCCTAGAAATGGAAGTCAACGATATTATATGGATGCTTTTATAAAAGGGAGACTAATGTTGATAAATTAATTATTGATCTAACGCTATTGACCAGAAGTCAATGCAAACGTGTACGATCGAAATTAGTCTAAACGAGAACTGAAGCCAATCTCCAACGACCATTTGTCAAAATCCTGAACGTTAAATTGAAAAGTGGGACCAAATTACTCAACGGCCACGATTGAAACACCATCCATTCTTATGTGAGCAAATGTTACATCTGTTGAGTTCGTTTGTTTTCGCCTAATTGATCTCTCTCGCTTGCTTAGAGGTTTCTTCTCGAGTTTCGATCCCGATCTTGTATCTTAGGGCTAGGGCTTGGTTTTGGTTTGCTCTGCAATTCGAGGCAGAGATGGCAATGAGGCAATTCTACTCCGAAATTAAGGGTTTGAAAGTTAAGGAGCTGCCGGCGTACGTGAAGCCGTTGCTCTCCGTTGATTATGTTAAGAAGGCAGGGCAGAGAGGTCTTGACAATTATAACGCGAAGTATATTCAGACCGGTTCTATTGACCCTCTGCTCCATGTTTGCTTTGGCGGCATGATCCTTTCCTATCTTTTGGCGCTCCCTGAGGAACGGCGCCATCTTGAACATCAGCAACACGCCAAAGAGCATGGTGGCCACTGATTGAGTTCTCTATCTTTTGAGGTATGGATTTCAGTGTGCAGTGTTTGTGTTTACATTAGGTTGAGCAATTAGGATTTCTATAAACGGGTTTTCATGGATTGATCGATTAGAGTTAGGTCATGCATCTATTGAAATGGATATTTTTGTTCTGAAACTTCGAATACTCTCGGATAGGTGGAATTTGTTTCCGTTTTTCATTGTCATTATCGTGTCAACTAACTTTGGTTGCCGCGATTCAGTTTGTTTCCCCTTCGTTATCTGAGATTTGGACCCGTAAACCAATGATCATGTTGTATTTAATCGATGCTGGTACTCGAATGATCTTCTTAGTCAACTTTTTTTTTGTTTTGTTTGTGTGATTACTAGTAATGAATACTGTTTCCCGTGTGGTCTGTTAATTTTATGAGAGCATTCAGCACATGATACATTTATAGAAGTTTTTCCTTTTTGTACCGTAAAATCTTCCAAGCGTCTATTTTTCTCACGCCATTTTGATCTGGAGAAAAAGAAACTAGAGTCGAAGAATGTGTTATTCTTCCCTGCCCGAACCAACTATTTGGATTGAAAGGATCTATTACATTTTTTGGTTTTATTTATTTATTCTCTTGTTTATATTACCAAACCCATTTCCAGTAGATTGTTGCATTATCTGTATGTATGTTTTTTGTTCTCATAGAACCTGTTTTAGGTGCTTTCTTCTAATTCTGGCACAGCCTGTGGTCTTGAGTTGTTTGTGTCTGGCTGACCTTGAATATGACTTCTCAAATGTAAAGCTTCCAGGTTTACAGCCCATAACATGACCTTAAGGGCATATGTACTTGGCTTTACAAAACTCATAGGCTTGTAGGCTTGACGTTTAACTCCTGGAATGTTAGTGCCACCAAGACTAACTTTTCCATACTCAAGGAACGTGCATTTTCACCATTTTTATTCTTTATTGTTTATACTCTAAAATAATCTCTGCATTGGTGCTTGAAAGGTGAAAGAAAGAGATCATTCATGTAACCGTTAAATAACTGCTTTTTTATGGGACATAGAATCTCTAAGTAGTGACATTTTTTCATTATCCAAGTTTAATGGTGCATTCGAGTATCATTCATCGCGAGGCATCCAAGTTGTCTGTATCCACTTCATTTGCTCTTGATTATTTCTTTCTATTTGTTGAGTTCATTTGTCTTTTGTGCTTTGACTGCTTACAAGGCCTAGCGGGGAGGCGATAGTAGGGTGATTGCAAGAGTACGGTAACAAGTATCTAAAGGATATTTAAGGCAACAAAGTACCATGCTAGGTGTCTGAGTATGGATTACCTTGGCAGAATTTAAGCCTTTTTTCAGTGTATTGCATATTCTGTGCAAGTAATTGCAGATCGAGCGAATGGTGTACCCTATGGATTAAGTCAACCCTACTCTACTAGTAAAATTAGGTAGTAGAGGGGAAGAAGCACTACACCTAGGAATCAACGACATGAAAACTTTGTTATAAATTATCCCTTTTCCTATAGGGATCAGAACTTAGAAAAATGGTTGGGACAACAAACATCCATCTCGGTTGTATTTTGGATACCTGTATAACGATCGAAGACTTAAATCAATCCTCATACAAAGTCATTTGGTTTTGAGTTGGGTCTAGTTGACTTGGGTTGTGATAACCTCCCCATTACCAAAAAACACAAGATGTATGCTTTTTCCTAGCGAGATTGTTTGTGCAGTTTTTTAAATCTTGCTTATACTTATACTTGTGACTGTATCGTAAAATCACGTCTCTTTTGATGCTGGAGATTCAGATTTAGTCTCAATTGTATTCCTAAACTTCCCTTTTATACGTTTTTGTTATTTTTGCAGGGTGAAGGTGCCTCAAAGGGGTCTCTGGTCAATAATTTGTTTCCCGAATGTTTCTGTATCTTGTTTGCTACTGGCTGAAACTTGCAATCATTGAGGAAATAAACAGACTTTTCTGTGAGTTTTTAATCATATATGGCAACCATCTTTGAGTCGCAGAACAAGTTCATGGTTGTTTTGTTTACTTTCTTGCACACGATCCTCCCCCTTGTATTTCTCTGGTCAGTGCTTTGTCAATGGCCTACAATACTATTGCTGCTGGCTTCAAATGCAAATTGTTGTTTTTCATTTCTTCAAGATGTTAAAAGTAATCTCAAGGATTACAATGATGTTACATTTTCTGATTCTAGAACAAATATGATTAATTTGAAATGCTGGGCAGCTGATTATTAAAGTGATTGTAGACTCGTACAAAGATATTGGACTCTAATTATGAGTTAAACTATTTTCTCTTGTGAGCTCCAATTTTTGGGAGAGTCGTGTGTGATAAACAAGTTTACATACTCAATACTCAATAATAAATACAGAAGTTGTGGTCAATAAGGTAGGGATCAGAGGCCTTCAAACAAAATTTGCTTACTTTATAATCACATAATCAATCTCGTTCAACAGTTGGGAGTTCCCTCAAAAAGATTTCTGTAAGAGAAATGGAAAATAACAAATAAATACAATACCCTCAATACTTGCTATATTAGCAAGACAAGCAACTCCTCCATCATCCTATATATATATACTATTGATTTACAACATTAGTTCATGGAGTATATTACAAATTCACATGGAACATCTAAATAATGATTACTTTTCTCGGTGAAAATTTCTCTTCTGATAGATTATTTTTAATGAATATTCACATAGAACTTCTGATAGATTATTTTTAATGAATATTCACATAGAACACCAGACAACTAGTCTTAAAATTTTGTCTCCTTGGTTCTCATTTTTGTCTTCCCCTTACGACCCATTTCAAAGGAGGTCGCTCAAGACACTCATCTCGGGACGTTCACGCATGTGCCACAAGTAGTTCACTTAGGCCACCGGGCCCAAAGATGGTGGAGAGTTGATACCGTGCCTCCCCTATAGTACATTTTGAGACATTTTCAATACTCCATGCATAGACGTAATTTTGGTAGAGCCAATCCTGACTTCTCTAGTTCCAACACTTCTGCTGTCAAAATCACACCCCAAAGCCCATGAAACTATACTTCCTAGGAAAAGATTCGAAATAAACGATATCGTTTAAGCATTTTACTAGCTATCAGTGTTCAATCAAACTTCAGCAACTAAGATAAACACAGAACTGCAAAAGATCTTGAACTATTCCATCTCATTTCTCTACTCATCAACAAAAAGCAATTCCCATTTACCCACTTTTCTCTTAACAGACGTTCTCCAAGAGAAAAAGAGACAAAAAGGCAGCAGAAGAAGAGGGTAAATGGCTAACACATCATATTTAGTCATTCATTTACAACATACAAGATATTACTATCACAATGCTTCTCGAAGTAGAGAATACGACTCGATTTTAATCTGAATGACTTGATTTTGTAAGAAATATGGTGTTACGACACTTGAAACTATCAAGCAGTTCTCACCATATCAAGTTTTGTGTTCTGTAAGGTTCTGCACATCACTTCTGCTCTTGGTCTCATCCAATTTCCGTCTTTTGGAAGCTAACCGAGGCCTCAACTACAATGACGGAGAGAGAGAAAAATTAACATTATCTGAACCATACACAAAAGCACATGTAGTCTAAATACTACGTGAGAGAAATGACAGTACCATCTCAATGTACTTCAACTGCTTTAAAACTTGAACCGTTTCCTGTTCCTGCAATAATGGAGCATAAAGCTCTCTCAGTGAGAAATATGACTCACAAGTGAATTTGGTAATAATAATCAATGAATACAGAAGCCCAAATCCTCTATTTAGAGCTCAACTAATCTCATGGAACAATTGTCTTACCTTACTATATTTGGTTGTCAGTTTGAAGTTTTAATATACTATGTAGGTGGGTAGTGATAAGAAATCTAGGGGAATCTTACAACTACACGGTTTGAGAAGATAACCAAAAAATGTTTTCGAACGCTCCTTCCACAGGCAAATCTTGTGTAACAACCCAAGCCCACTGCTAGTAGATATTGTCTGCTTTGGCCCGTTACATATCGTCGTCTGCCTCATGGTTTTTAAAACACGTCTACTAGGGAGAGGTTTTTACACCCTTATAAGGAATGCTTCGTTCTCCTCTCCAATCAATGTGGAATCTCACAATCCACCCCCTTGGGGGCCCAGCATCCTCACTCGCACACCGTCCGATGTCTAACTTTGATACCATTTGTAACGGCCCAAGTCCACCGCTAGCAAATATCGTTCGCTTTGGCCAGTTATGTATTGTTGTTAGCCTCACAGTTTTTAAAACATGTCTACTAGGGAGAGGTTTCCACACCCTTATAAGGAATGCTTCATTCTCCTCGCCAACCAATGTGAGATCTCACATCTTAAGATGGAGCATCCAAGATTTTACTATGGCCATTTGAAAATAATGCGAAATCCTAAAAGAGCATTGTGTTGCCAAGAACAATGTACACAAGATCAAAAAAGAGACCTAGTATTGAGGTCAGTTCACCTGAGGTACAGCACAATCAGCATGTGTTGGATCCCAAAGCATGGAGCAGAAGCATTCCCAGTCTTCAGTTTGGACTTCGAAAAGAGGAGCCCTACGATGCCAAGTTTTAAATGAAAAATAAATCGTAACTCAGGATTTGGCACGTTCACAAAATTAACTAAAGATTCAAAATCATGAACAAAGTTGAGCAGAAACAAGTGAACTTGTTAATGTAATGGCAAATGAGATCGATCATGTAGAACAAATTTTATGTTCCAAAATGCAAACAAGATATTAGGGAGAGAGTACATCATTTTCCAAACCTGCGCCACTTGCCACAAATGGTTGAATTAACACCGCCCACTCCGTTCATAACTTGTTGACATTGAAGCCAATTTCCGATACTGCTCAATCTACAAGGTTTATTGGTACTCAGCTCCTAATGTTTTGTTGGTCGGGAAGTAGAAAGCCAAGTCACTATTTTTTCATTGATTTACAAACTCTGTTACTGAATGAAAATTAACACAAGCAAATCGATGCCTTACATGCATTAGCAAAGGTTCTGAAGGATGCATTTCCAGTCGCTCACCGATGGCATCATTATCACTACATCAGCCCAAAAGAAATAAATGCTATTAGGAAATGGAAGAAATGCATATTTTCTCCTTATCATGTCAAGTAAAGGCTCTATTGTAAGAAATGTATTTCTTATCTTTACTTTTCTCTTTGAGATAACTAAGAGGGTTCGGGTTCAAGTAGCTTATGCCACTATACGCCTCACTCGTGGGTTATAGACTACTGTAAATTTAGTCTTGTATCAATAATTTAACACTCCCCTCACTTGTGGGTTTGAGAATTTGTAGAAGACCCATGGAAATTAATATTAATCAGAAAGGAAATGAAATACAGGGGTGTGAACATAGATCTCTTATCTAGTATCATGTTAAAACACTTATGAACAGAAAATTTTAAGTTGGTGGTTCAGTCAAGTTCCCCTGCATGAGACTTGTTCGTGCTTTTTGAGGCGCTGCCTGTGACTCAGCATGGGAGAAGGGGGAGGAACTGCACACTTACGTGTTCAGAGCATTGCCCGAGTGAATAGACAGGGCATACCACGCAAAGCTTGATTTTCTAGCCAGCCAACAATTGATTTAGATGTTGGGCAAGCCTCAAGAAAGTATAGGTTGAGCTGGAGCCAGCTCTACCTCAGCCAGCATCCTTCTCTTGAGGGGGTAGAGTCCTGGAGCGAACTAATCATTGAGGTTTCTTACAAACTACGGTCCCACGTAGCATACGAGGGGTTGCAAACTTGATTGATAATGAGGTTCTTGTTATTCTCCCAAATTTTGGTATTAAGATCATTACTCATAATAAAGCTAATTCTAGAAGCCAACACATCTTTAGCTTTGAGTATATCTCTCCAAGGTCCTCCTGACTTCATGGTGATATTAGGGAGAGACCACCATCCACATTTGAGGACACCATACTTGACAGCCACCACCTTCTTCCAATGAGCCCCCTTTTCCATGGTAAATCTCTAAAGCCATTTAGAGAGGAGAGATATGTTTTTAACAAGAATACTCGAAAATTTCTTGTCTTCTTCTAAATGAAAGGAAAACTTTTCTTCCTATATCATCAAGGTCGCCCTCCTATGGATCAAAACAAACATGAAGTGAGTGGGTCGGCTAGATAGAATAACTTGGCGTTGTGTTAGTCAGCCACCTTATGACACCACTTCCCTAACTTCCTTATACCAGGTCAATATCCTAACTATTAATGACTCCTGTTTTGTAACAGTCTAAACCTATTGCTAACAAATATTGTTCACTTTAGCTCGTTATGTATCGCCATCAGCCTCGCGGTTTTAAAAATCGTCTACTATGGAGAGGTTTCCACACCCTTATAAGGAATGCATCGTTCCCCTCTCCAACCGATGTGGGATCTCACAATCCACATATTGGCCCCTTAATTCATCCAACACAGTTAAATCTCTTTGGAAAGATGTTTCCTCAAAGAAGATTAAAATTTTCCTTTGGGACCTTAGTTTTGGTGCTATTGATACAGCGGATCGACTACAAGGGTGTACGTCCGATCTTTATCTTTCTCCATCTGGGTGCATTATGTGTGCATCTATTTACGAGCATTCTATCATCTTTTTGCACATTGCTCCTTTGCTTCTAGATTTTGGTCTCTAATTCTAGATGCTTTTGGGTGGTCCTTACATTTGCCAATAGCATTTATGATCTTCTTACCTCCATTCTTGAGGTCGGTCATCTTTTCCGAGGTGTGAAGACTTTGTGGCTTGCCTTCATTACAGTTTCTAACTTCTTTAATGTATTTCATGTTTGTATGAAGAAAAACTATATAATTAAAGAAAATAACATACTCTGAAATCGGGCCAGACCAATCTGGAACTTCTGCTTGAAAACCTTTGCCAATCCGAACACCAGTTGTATAAGGTTCTGTGTCCTTCAACATCAATGCAACAGAATTTGATTCGCCCTTAGAATATCCATTTCTACTCGAGGTGTTCGCCAATTTCTTCATAATGACGTCCTTCAAAATTTTATGATTCTTCTTCAGACATGAATTGCAATACCACTCATCATTCGACACTTTCTTCATGCGATGATTGCAACACGAGACGTGAAATGCATATTCACAATGATCACAAACTAACATCTTCAAGACTGATTCTGAACAGCCACAAGTTTTGCACAATCGAAAACAATTATTTTCGCTTCTAAAATCACTTTCTTCCTCAGAAGCATGAGCCATAGAAGACAAAAGCCCATTGCTTCTAAGGATAGAGATGCATAGATCTCTTCCTGATATATCCTCCTCCATATCCTCCATAACTTGAATACTAGAAGAGGAGCACTCACCCGTGTCATACACTTCAACTTTCTTCGAAGTCGAAACAAGTTCCATGTTCGACTTAGATGACGAGCAGCTATCATTTATGCTATCAACCTCCAAACTTTTTTGCAGGCCATTATTAAGCGTTCTGACAGAACCATGCCCGTCCCCAATCGTACAACCATCGACCAATTCCCGTTCTGAAAATCGACTTTTTCCATCGTAAACAGGAAAAGAAGGGACAACATTTCCAACAATTTTCCTTTTGTGATTATGTCGAGAAGCTGCAGCTTGTTGACCATCGCAACTAATCAAAGATATACAATCTGTCTCAATAGCCCACAACCTGGAATCAGAATTGCCTCGCAGTTTTCTTCTCGTGTATACCACATTATATTTTGAACCTTCGGGCATCGTTCTAACAGTTGATATCTGGGGAAAGGCCCTAGAAAAATTTAAGCAAAGAAAATCGCCATCGTTCTTGTTTTCCTCTACGATTGGCCCAGCTTTTCTGCATCCATTATGAGAGAATCCATCACAATGGCGGCACATCTGCGAATTTCAAGAGCAAACAAAATAAGCTTTTCTTGAGGAGTGGAGCACATCCGATCATTCATCTAGAATCAGGAACTCACCAAAATCTGTCTATTCGGCCCTATCTTCCCAACTCCAAAACATTTAACCCTAAATGTTCATACTCAACGAATAATAACCAGCCATCCAACTTCACATTATCGAGCAGCATGAAGAACAATATTATACAAATATATGTCGTAATAGACTGCGGCATGTAATTCTCAAGGTTTCGTCGAGTAGAACAGCCACACCAGAAAATCTATCATAACAGGGCATTTTATAATACTCAAATACTGCTGAAGAATCCATTCAAATAACAGATGAAGTTTAAACACAAGCAACCAGCGATTGAAGGAAAAGATTAAACTACGCTTTGTTCCCGATTCCTAAAGTAGAGAGGAAAAGATTAAACTAACCAGAAGAAGCATACAATCAGCCAGCTCTTCTCAATGATCAGCCCAGTTGTGAAAATGCTTCGCTTCTCTTCTGCTCCTTCCCACTCAGAATCCCGGATTCATCTACTTCAAAATTATGCGCTTTTATTGCCCGTTTCTTTTTCTTTTTATTCCAGAAAAGACAACATCTGTGTTTATGTACTAGAAAAGACGCAAGTTTTCATATTGGCTATGAAGATCACCCATTTTGCATATTGGAGCAGTCTCGTTTGTAAAATTCAAAGCTCTACAAAGAGAGAGGAAGAATGACCAAAAATAATTGATCATTCCCGATAGGTGTATTTGACAGCTATAATTCATTGGGCTTTTGTACGGGTGGACAAAGCCTATGAAACTTTCCAAAAAAAAAAAAAAAAAAAATTGTATATTTAAATATCCAATTCTTCATTTTATTAACACGAAAGATTACGTTCTCTCATTTAGATCAAAGTTCAAATCACGTGAATAATCATTCAAAAATTATTGTTACAATCGTTTAGTGACAACGGTTCAAAATCAACATATACAACGTATCAGAGATCGATTTATTTTGAGTAACGTATAGTATAGACACTAATGGAGAATACAAGCGATACTTGATTCCGTCTAACAAAATGGTCCATGTTAGGAACATTTGTGCACAAGTTGTGACAAATAAATGGTTCAATACACTTGCCTAAACTATTGAACTACGCTCGTTTTAGGCACTAGAAAGTGATGGTAACAATATAACAGTTTCTTCTCTAATTGTAAGCCACCATATTCTCTGGAAGTTTTTCCACAGGCCTTTTGTTTTCTCTTCAATCTTCTCTCGTTCCTCACACATCAACATCTCTGCTTCAATCACTACTACCCCCCTACCAATATGAATTTCCAGCATAATCTATTTGCAGACATTTGATTCGAGGAATATTTTCTGGTTGATGCTGAAAATTGAGTCACAGTAGATATTATAAACCATTTAGTTACAATCTGAGAGAACATTTGAATCATTATAAACATATATACAGGAGTAGTTCAGGTAGCACTTACCAATGCTAAGTGGATAGAAATATCATAATCTCAGATTGTATAGCAATGACCTCGAGGTTGGTACCTTCAAGCGCAAAACTCTATTGTTTGAGATAAGAACTACATGGGGATTGAAATTCATCCACCAGCCGCCTTTGCCAGTTTCAAAAGCTCTTCTGACAGGAACAGAATCATAAGCAAAAGTGACCTCATTTCTCTCATTGACCCGCCTGATGGTTACCAAGGAGCCTGTGAGGCTTTGGAGCTGCAAAAGAACACTACCACTATCAATGAGACCTCTGAGATGCAATAAATTTTTCAGTCTCTCGATCCAAGAGAGCTAAAATCTCACAAATATGCAAATCATGCAGATCAGTTTATCAAATGATTCCACATACCATTGGGATTCCCCTGTTCGTAAAAACTTCGAAAAAGAGCAACTGCTTCGGATGCCATTATTCCTGCAGTACATTTGAATCCCCTTCCTTGCCCATTACTACTGTCATAACAAATTAAAGAGATTTAGATCATGACAATGAAAGGTAATACATAAATTAATAGATAAAAAGACTAGATGGAATAGGAAAGGACTTCTGTCAGATCCACATTGGTTAGGGAGGAGAACAAAACATTCTTTTTAAGGATGTGGAAACCTCTCCCTAGTTGACGCGTTTTAAAACCTTGAAGTGAAGCCCAAAAGGGAAAGCCTAAAGAGGACATATCTGCTACTGGTGGGTTTGAACTGTTACAAATGGTATTAGAGCCAGGCACTAGGCGATGTGCTAGCAAGGAGGTCGAGCCTCGAAGGGGGTGGATTGGAGGGTCCCACATCTCTTAGAGAAGGGAACGACAAGGACGCTAGGCCCCGAAGGGAGGTGGATTGTGAGATCCCACATTGGTTGGGGAAGAGAACAAAACATTCTTTATAAGGGTGTGGAAACCTCTCCCTAGTAGATGCATTTGAAAAACCTTGAGAAGTCCAAAAGGGAAAGCCAGGACAATATCTGCTAGTGATGAGCTTGGGCCGTTACAACTTCCTTTACGATTTCAAATTATCAGCCCTCCCAAAAATTTAAGCTAACCTTTTCTTCATGTGGGAGGATAGTGCAAAACGTAAATAATGCTAGATGAATTTAGGTTCTCTTAATACTTAACCTATCATTGAAGAATATCCGGTTAAAAGGAAGCATATGAATTGATAGCTTGCAATCATTTAAAAGACAATTACATAAAAATATATTTCAATTTGGAAAGGTGGACAACTAACTGCAGCAGTGTGTTCAAGAAGACCAAAGAGATCATCGCCCCAAAACTAAAATCTGATCATGGTAGATAAAGAAACAAACCTTGAAGGCGCCTCCCGGCTACCTAAGTGAAGCGACAATACAGATCCACATCCACCAAATTTATCATTTGCACAACCATAATATACTTCCTTTATACCTAAAACAGGAGATCCACTAACAATGAATAAACCATATTCAGTGAAGTTAAGTGAAAGGTAACTATGACCTATGACCCTCTTGGCAAACAGGTACCCCTCTGGAATGAGAAACGAGAAGAATAAAATAAAAGGGTAAAGAAAACATACCAAGTATTGATAGGGCAGAAGCACACATAATGCATGGTTCACAGGTAACATAAAGTTTGCACTTCGAGAATTTATCAGCCACTTCTGAGGTTGAAAGTCCATCCCTCTGCCATGCCTCAATCAAGATATCGATCGCTTCCATCTCTGCATGTCTGGTAGCCTACAACGTACAGAAGAAAGCTTATAAACATTGTGAGCAAAACGGGCTTGGGGTAATGCCCGTGTACCCTTCCTTTAAATCTAAACTACAGAAGCAGGTTTAACATTGTAATTCTTCCTTCTTTATTTTCAATGGGATAGTGCAGATGTTCTAGCTAGCTTATTTTCTAGCTTATGATAAATGAACAGAACCCAAAAAAGGCTGCCTTAAATTGACGTCAACCACAAACTAACATTGAAAATTATGTTTATTAAGAAAACGTGGGAAAAAGATAGGAACCATGATGGATTACATTTCGGGTCTCGTTAGTGCGGTTTCTTCCAGTGGCAATGACCACCCCATCTTCAACAATCACAGAGCTGAACAACAAGAATAATTAGATGACAGCAATGTCTTCATTTGATTCAAGTTAGAAGAAGAATAATCATTTTCAACTAAGTTTCAATCCTTGGGATAAAGCAAGAATTATTTGTCAACATGCGCATTGGGGTGGAATGTTGATACATCCTCTTGAAAATGCATCAAACGGTAAATTCAATTTGCAACACAGCAGATCTTGCCGGCAATAATGGTAAAGAAAGACAATCGCTTACCCCACAGGCACTTCAAGGCTGTTTAGTGCGAGTTTGGCCTGCCATGACATGGAAAAGTATTGAGTTAATATAACATAAATAAATCTCCACCGTTAAGACAAACATTTAAGTTGGATGACAATATAATGTGTCTAGAAGAAGCTTTCAGATGAACAAAACAAGCAACCCCTCCAAAAACAGACGACCATAAACGAACTCACTCATCTCAGTTCCAAATCTGATATGACGCACTCCAGCCTAAGCCCACCACTAACAAATATTATCCGCTTAAGTCCGTTACATATCGCCATCAACCTCACGGTTTTAAAATATGTCTACTAGAGAGAGGTTTCCACACCCTTATAAGGAGTGCTTTGTTCCCCTCTCCGACCGATGTAGGATCTCACATTTCCACCGAGCCAAACCTAATCTTATCCTCAACCCCCAAATACTGATTTTTCATTCCCATGATCCCAACGTTCACGAAAAAGTATGATTTAGAACCAACAATTTTAAGGATGCCCGCGTGGGATAGAAACATCAAAGGAAGAACTATATTTCATACAAAAATTCGACCCAGGGATCAATCAACACGGTCAAGCATTCGTTAAAAAAATGCGAACTCTAAGGAGCCTGGAGCTATTTGGAGCGAAATCAGAACAGTTAAACAAGAGTATTATGAAACTAAAATTCACCGTCTTCGACAGGAAGAAGGCTACTCACCTGACGAATAGCAAGCTCCATGAACACAAGCGTATCGGAAGAACAACCTTCCACTGAAGAATCCATCTTTAACTAAGAACGCTTAAATGGACGAACGAATGAATAGAGGAACCCCAAGAAGCAAGATCGCCAGTTTAATTTAACAAACGCGAAGAGCTGGAGAAAGAACTTGTTGCCGACACGCACTTGTAAAAGAGGGACAGAAATTAGGGCATGGGCACATTTTCAGACAGAATTGGCGCGAAGGAGGAAGAATTTTACAAAAAGAATCAAACAAAAGTTTCTTTATAATCCGATATTTTTATCAAATCCTTTCAATTTAGAACCAAACATTTATTTTTGTGAAAAATATCATCTTTAACAACGAGGACGAGAAATTAAAATTTTAGTTAGGGTTTAGGGGATGGAAGCGTTCCCAAAAATCCAACTAATTTAGAGAATGATCATTAATCAAAGAAAGATAAAATCTTAATTAGAAAAAGAACACAACGTCGCTACTTCCCAAAGCCCGCCATCTCTCTCTCTCTCTCTCTCTGCGCTTCTCATGGACTCACTGTTAGCCAACTACGCCTCCGACGACGAAGCAGCCACCGTCGTCAATTAGCAAGCCTCAAAGAAACTCATCTTTCTCCTCGTCTCTTCCCCCCCGCCTAAATCTTCTTCCCTCTTCCAATCCATTCCCCAGCCCAAACAATCTTCCAAGCCTTCTCGGCCAACTGGTTTCTTTGAGGATGATAAGAACGAAGACGTAGAGGAAGGAGATTCGCTCTTGGCAACAAAATTAGGTGCCGCTTCTATTAAACCTTCCTCTTTTTTCTCTTCCCTTCCACGGCCCATGGGGAGCCCTACGAAGTCTTCGATTTCGCTTTCTAGTTCTCGATTTGATGGTGATGGATGGTGCCGGTGACGGTGATTTCACGGAATCAGTATCCATGTTTTCTTCCCTTCCACAACCTAATTCGAAGAAATTGCAGGAACCTAAATCAAATCCCTCGTCCTCGGAGTCCCAGCCAAAAAAGGTCGTCGTATTTAAGCCACCCGTTAACTCTTCTTTGCTGAAATTGGGTGAAGACGAGGACGACGAAGACGACGATGAAGAAGAAGAAGAAACAAGGCGCAGAAATGCATCTCAATCCTCGACAACGTTGGGAGTTATTTCGAGTTCAGGCTCTCGGCGAAGATCGATTCTCGATACAGATGTACGGGTATCGTCTTCTGATGATTCGGGCAGCACTCAAAAGATTGATCACAGTACTGAAAACTACGACAGTTTTGTAAATTACAGAGACGTTGAGCAGAATGATGCTAATCCCGGGGAGAACAATGAGAATGCTGCAACTTACAATTTTGGTGCAGAACAAAATGCATGGAATTCTGCAAGCTACGATCGCTAGTGACTATAAAAGTTATGAGAGTCATGGTAACTATGGTGATTGCATCCCATACGGGAGTGACCCTGGCTGTCAGCCCGCAATGGTGGACACTGAAAATTCTGTTAGAATACCTGAGAAGAGAAGAAGAAATGAGGTTCCGTCGGAAATACTTGAGGTAAAGCAGGAGGACTTGATTAAGAATCGACCGAGGCAGAACCAGGTTAAGTTAACTGCAATTGCTTTTGGTCCTTCTTACCAGGTATGTCACTTATAGCTTCTTAGCAGATAACATACATTGAGGTTTTATGTTATGTAGCGCTAGGATGGTGAAATCACCATTCTATAGAGCTTTTCTTTGGATTTTTGTGCATTAATATATAGGGTTTTGGGTTCAAATGTCGTGGCTGGTGGCTAAGTATTTTGAAAAAATATAATTTTGCAGCTAAGTAGTTGGGTTGTGAGATTAATCAATGTATGTGGACGCTCATAGTATGTGAGAAATCTAAAGTTGTTCTTTTTCTCCAATTGGCATGAGAAGGAAGGGAAGACTTATCCTTTGCGACCCACTTCTCTAATTTTGGCTGATAAGGAGCTCAAGAGATTGCAGTGGTCGGTTAGTTATGAGGGAAGGAAAACAACAGATAAAGCAGGGTTTCACATTGTTTAAAATGGTAGTGATTTCTTGGAATGTAAGAGGTTTGAGGGGTAAGGAGTAGGAGATCGGTTAAAGAGGTCATTGTCCAGAAGAAAGATGCAGTGGGAGTTCTTGGAGTTCTAAGATGCCTTTTATAACAGCTCAAACTCATCGCTAGTAGATATTGTCCGCCTTAACTTGTTGTATATAGTAGCTTCACGATTTTAAAATGTGTCCGAGGTGGGATCTCACACCTTTTGAGGTATTATCATAATATGGGACGCCTCAATTGTCAAATATTTGGAAGTGGTTAGAGGGTTCTTTTCAGTGTCCTCAGGTGTCTGGGGTTTATGGGCCTCCCAGACAGATAGGAAGGAATTCTAGGATGAGTTGGGTAGGTTGTCAGCTTTTTGTGTGCCCTTGAATTCTTTCATCCATTTTTTTTCTCAAATAAAAGTGTCAAGTTTTTTCATAAAAAATAATTTTATCTCTACTGCACTGTTATGTTTGCCTGCATCTCCGTTTCTGTAGCCTACCTCGACAAAGGGGAAGCTTTCAAAGTTGCACAAGAGAAAGCACCAAATCACTTCGTTGTATTATGATATGAAGCAGAAAGAGACGGAATTAACCGAGAGGCGTGCGAGGGGTCTACTAACAAAGGCTGGAACACAAGGAAACTATGGCTGGTGATCCCTAAAGATATCCTGCTACTATGGTACGTAATTCATGTGCTCCATGGAGTTAGTGTTATAGATATGAACACTTTTTTGGTCTTAATGCTATTTTATAACATGAATGGTTCATTAGAACTTTTTGCTACACAGTTTCTTCTATGTTCAAGAATGAGGGATTTCAACGACTCTGTTGAAATCCAACGCTCATCTAGGAGATTATGTTTTAAGCTATGTTAGTTCTCCGTCTTCGAGTTGAATCACATATGTTTTAAGCTACACTGTTTCGTTTTGTCGGTAAAATGATCTTTTTGGTATGTGAGATTTGAATAATAGTTCTATTTGATCCATGAGTTTGAAAGTCTTACAATTTTGTCTTCAAGTCTTGAAAAATTGTTCTACGTTAGTTTTACTATCATAGTTCTATTTGATCCATGATTGATTGAAAAACGTGGTATCAGACCCATGCTCTCAATACTTAGTTATCATTTGACTGACCTTCACTATTTTTCCCTATCTTTTATCCTTAGATGGTCGCTTCGTACATCAGGGTGAAACAACTGGAGTTCAGACCATTCCTGAGGTATGTCGACCCATTTCAATATCTTCTCTTATTATGTCACACTCCCAGTATTGCAGATTGGTTGAATAGGCGAAGTTCACTCTTCTTTTTCATAAAAGTGTCGAGAATTGGATATATTGCAATCTTGATGATGATTGAGGAATATCGTAGATCCAGAAAATATAGAAACTCAAGCACATTATTGTGTTGATACTCATCAAACCATTCGACATGGACAATTTTACATGGAAGATTCTATACTCTTACTACATTTGATATCTTCTTGGACCAAGAAAAGAACTCTCGGAAATTCCTGAAAGGAGAACTCTCTCATCAAGGAAAACAAATCATGTGACATGACGACAACCCCAAGAAAGAGCAAAATGGAAAACTCTGATCAGGGAGTGAGAGAACCAGTTTCCAACTCTCAGATACTCATGGGGCTATGTGGATCATTAAGACCTGCAATTGCTGTTTCTATTTTAATTTTCAAGTAATCCCTCTCCTCTTTCTCAGCCTGCAATTCCAGAACAAAGGATAAATTTAATTAGATCTTGGAGTTCGTCTTGGGAAGGGTTTTGGATTCTTCTTAAGCCGATTTAGACACAGTTAAGTGGCACAACAACATCAATTATTACCATTTTCTTTCCTGTTTGTCTTTTTTCCTCTCTAGAAGATAGTGAAAGCTAAAGCTAATCATAAAGCTAATCATAATTTTTTTTTTTTTTTTTTTTTTTTGAGATTTTTGTACTATTCATAATCTAATATTGCTAAAGTGAATAAAAACCACAAAATTGATGGCTCCACAAGGCTTAAAATGGGGCTGTAACTATTCTTCTAGGTTAATTAATCAACAAACTACTTGTTTTGGATTTCATTGTTCCTAATGAATGATCCAATAAAAAGGTGCGCTAGAGTTGTGTACTATCTATCAACATGGTTGGAGAGGTGTATCTATATAATTCCCTGTGACAAAGACACCTATATACAGTTAGCTCCAGAAAATATAAAAACCTTATTAATGTAATATAAACTTACCACTAGCTGAACGTGAAAAGTTCATATAATTGAAAGCACAATCATTAGAAGTGTGTCAACAAAATTACATTTTCCAAAGGTGTGGGGATGGTGAGGTGAGGTAATGGCAAAATGCTGTCATTACCAACCTCACCAAAATTGCATCACAACTGGATCTTCCACTTTATTTAAGCGGCTTTATTGACAATGAGTCCACAGCTAATTCTGTCCCATTCTTTATTTGCATACCATATCTTTTGTTTCCTATAATTTTACCCTTTGTGTGGATGAACAGCTCTCATAGACCCACCTCTTCTAACTTTCTTCATTCAAAATCAATCAAAACGTAGTCTATGCCCCATTTTGTGCTGTACTTTCATGTGCCTTTTAAAAATAAAAACACCTCCCAATTTCTAACTAGAATGAACATAAGTTCAATTTTTTGACATGGTCAAAAGTTTGAATTTCTATTCATATTGCTGAATTCAAAATTAAAATAAATAATAAAAAAGAAACATGGAGATCAAGATAATGTATTCAAAGATCTTCATATTTAGTATTTCAATGAAAATGAAAGTTTCACTTGAAAATAGAGTTTCAAACGCAAATACTTACAAATTTCGTGAACGGAAAATTTAGTTTTTAGATTTTCTATACAATTCAGAGATTATTTCTAAAATATAATTTATTCCTTATACAATTTTGGAATTATTTCTAAATGAATAACAAAATGTGGCACTTTATTTTTTTTAAAAAGAACCAAACATAAGGACACATGCACTTAAAAAAGAAAAAAGAAAAACATGAGACAGTCTGGCCCGCGGATGAAGGAAAAATGATTGCTTGTCGGATAAATTATTCAAAACAATTTTTAAAAACAATTATCCACAACCATAAACACCATATTATCCATAAGTTGAATAAATTAAAAATATTTAAATATCCACAAATTAAAAAATATTTTATGCATCCTTGAGAGAAAATTAAACAAAAAAGAGAGACAATAACTTTAAAGCACATTTTAAATTCGACCCACAAAATAAACGAGGCACAGCACCAAAATGGTCAAAGAAAGCGACATGATAATAACAAAGGCTAACGAAGAAAAAGAAGCATTCCACTAAGACCACCCAAATTTTGAGGATCCATTATGCCTATGTGTACGGTAGCACATGGCTTACGACTCTTGTATCTCAATGGTTCAAAGATCCCAGAAAACATGCCCAATTTCCTACTTTTTCTCTTAAAAACACTTCTCCATTTATTTGTTTTTATTGACTTGATTCAGCTGACTCAGTTTGAATTTCTTAGAACAAAAAGAGGGGGAAATTATTTTATTTAGTGAAGCAGACACGTTTTTCACTGTTAGATGTCTAAAGTGTACCAAATTCTAGTGGCTATCAGGGAATATGCAGATTTTTGAATTCATGTTAGGGGCGGATTCATTTAATTTGATGGAATATCAAGAGGGGAGAGGGTTGTTACCTCAATGAAGACAGTCTTCAAAAGCCTTCCAGAGACAGCAGAAATATTGGCAGTGATGATCTTGAGCTTCAGTGATTCAAAAACTTCACAGAGTTTAACCATTGAATCTGCTCTTTTGCAGCATGTCATGCTCACCGCTATTGTTCTGTCCCCCATGTATGTTACACTAAGCTGCAATTCACATTCCCCTCGATTCAAAATCCCTAAATCAATTGATTTGTTGAAAATTTTAAGAAATAGCAAGAGAGATGGAAACTTACATCCTGGACTTCAATGGGGGAAGTTCTTGAAGCAGGAGATCCATAGCTGAAGTACTTCTCGGTTTTATTCCTCTTAGGTCTGAGCAACAAGGGAAGCTCCTGGTCAAATTCACACCCTGTTATCTTGAACTTTCCTGATTCGAGCTCGGAAATTTCAGTTTGAACCCTCCTCTCTTGCTCATGTAAATCTTGGATGTAATCGATTGCATCTTTTATAATGGAAGCCTTATCCATCTGCTCAATCCATTTCTCGATTGATTAATTTCAAAATCCAGAACTCCAAAAAGAGAGCTATTAACTAATTATGGAAATCGAACACAAGTAATTCGATCCTAACCTTAGTTATATTAGGAACGACCGATCGGAGCGCAAAAAGCCTCTCGTTAAGCTTCCTTCTCCTATTCCTCTCCGATGCTATGTTCTTCGTCGCCGACGACGACGACAGAACTCCCTCCGGCGAACTCGAATCGTAGTATCCGGAAACCGGCTCGTCGAATCCCCAACTGTCTTAATCAAAACACCGGCGTCAAATTCGAGTTACAAATTCCCTGAATCCTCACTCCACAGATCAACATTTTCAAAAGACAGAAAATAGAGAAGTAGAGCAAAAATAAAAAGACCTGTCGAGCTCTTCCGTTGGTATGAAGATATCACTCCCGAAGTAATTCATGCAATCGTTTCCGAAACTATCCATATCCCGGCGGCGGCGTTATCAGATTCTTGCTTCGACGGAGAGAGTTTTTTCCCCTTCCTTTCTCTTTTAGGGAAATAAAAAACAATAAACTCGTAATTTTATGTCCTTGATCACTTTGAGCATCTGAACTTGGGCATGGTTGGAATTTCATATGTTTTCGATATATATAGAGAAACAGAAATGCTAGAGTTACCTGCGGCGCACATAAATTCCAATCACCGCACGCGTGTGTGACCTAAGTAGTCTTGATGTTTCTTGGAAAGATCTTGACCGTCCACAAGGCCGCGCAAATAATTCTTTAATTTCTTTACTCGGTTTTACTCGACTCACCTGCCACCTATTTATAATATATATATATATATATATTACAATCTCGTTTCTCACTTTCAATGCGAAATTTCTTTATTTTTCATTGAAAATTAGATAAGAATTCTAGAAAAAAAATTTAATTTTTTACAAAAGTGATTAATTAATTGTTATTGAAAAAAATTAAGCCACGATGGATTTAAATTAATTTTAAAATTTAATGTTAAAATAAGACTTTTTTACAATAGAAAAATGTAATTGGAAACAAAGTTCAATGTTTAATATAATAATTGATATGGATCACATCACCATCCAATTATTATTATTATTATTATTATTATTATTTAAAGAAAAAAAAATCAATTTTGAACGTTGAGCTGAAATTTTAATTTGGGTCCATCCAATAGTTTGAAGAAGAGAAAGAAGAATGGGTTCCACACATTTCCATTCAACAATGGGAATTCAAAAAAACCAATCAATCAAACAATCAATTTACATTTGAAAAATCCCCGCAAATTCCTTTCAATTAATTTCTAACCTTTTTATTTTTTATTAATTTAATTTTTAATTTCGTATCTAATATTTCTTAAAATTTATGGATATTTTATACACAAAATTAATCGATAAAAGAAAAAATTTGTATTAAAGAACATCATAAATTAGATCTCTAGATACTTAGACATATGACACGTGTTAAATATGTCAAAATTTTGTCCTAGCGGGTGAGAAATGGCCGATATATATATATAATTCATTTTCAAAGACCTTTTTGTTACTTTAGCGCAAATATACTATTTTTTAAAAAACCATATATCCGTTGTTTTTTAATTTCATTTATTTTTATTAATAAGCACGGGTTATATATATTGTATTTATTTCCCTTCAATTATTGATAAATTAACAATTAATTAACTATATTGTTTTTTTTTTTTTTTTTTTTTTTTTTTTTTTTTTTTTTTTTTTTTTTTTTTTTTTTTTTTGGCTTTTATGTCTACGTGTTAAGAGAACTTTTTTTTTGAAATTTTTAAAAAACTAGCTTTTAAAAACTTATTTTCATATTTTATATTTTATTAATAATTCAAGGATTCAAACCAGTTGTCAATTTCTGTCACATTCATTGACCTGATTCACATTCTAGAGGATGAAAGGCAGGTTGATTAAAACGTGGAAGCATGATTTCTTATTAATTAAACCACCATCACGATGTCATTAATGGTAAGTGTAAATTATATGGCCTTAAGCTATACACTCCTAAGAATAATAGAAACTTCTCCCTAACATATGCGTTCTAAAATCGTGAAATTGAACAGTGATATGTAACGTGACAAAACGAACAATATTTGCAAACGATAATCGTAGACGGCTACAGATCAATACAAATGGAAGCATAATCACACCCAAAACAAAAGGGAATATTATGTGTGAACAAAGTTGATTTAATAGAGAACAAGAAAGATTTGATAACCGTTGATCTCGAAGCTCAGAACTAATGAGGCAAGATCTCATAACCAAAGAGAGATCTTGTCCCTTGAAACATCTTCCACTCCAAGGAAAATACCTATCCAAGATTTTGCACTTGATAAATGAATACTCCAAATGGTATTGAACTCATTTTTGCTTGATATGAGTTCATTCATTCATAGTTATCAACTTCCACTTTCTCATCCTTCCCAACTGGGCAGGCGGAACATATTTTTAAGGAAAAATTGAAAGAACCACTCTCACCCACCCATGAATTCTAGGGGTTCTTATAATCAAAATTAAGAAAGCAAGATCGAGCTGACAATTTGAACTTCTTACCTCTTAGTAGAAGAGTTACGTCCGAACAAACTTCTCGGGCTGAAAAAAAAGCTATAGGCTTAATATGGCAAAAGAAATCCAATGAGAGATAAGTCACATCTCCATAGATGAAGGTTTTGCAGTGGCTTTGGACTTTTTCTCTTTCCTTTTCTTGCTCCCATTTCTGTTCGTCTTCTTTTTCTTCGTTTCCTCAACTGGTTGTGTGCTCTCTAAATGTAGATGAATAGCTCCCAAGGGGTCTGCCTGGAATGCAGGGTGATTAAGAACTGTACCCATTTGCTTTGTTTCCTTCAATCTGATAAAATGAACCCACATCATTACAAGACCAACAAACAACGACAGAGTATAGAACATGTCAAATAGTTGTAACAAGCAACTTACACAAACTTTAGCCTAGACTTGCAATTTACTTTTAACTCGGTGTCAGAAGTTTTTTGTTTGGGAGTCTTCAATCCAGGAAGAAATTCTGATAGAGCAGTAAGATCGAAAGCCTTCAAATCCCTTTTACGTCTTCGAAGTTTCTTCTGTAAAACGTACTCAATTTCAGCAGAATACTAAAAGAATGAAAGAATGGATACTGATAGGTTCTTTTTCTTTCTTTCTTCCTTGGGGATGGGATGCAACATTTAAGCTCCTTGTGAAAATTCAAAGGTTTTTCAATAGTACCCTACTATACCCTCATAACCATGTGTTCATGTCGTTTCAAGATCACTTAACCCTTGCAATGGTTGGTTATAAGAAAATTTGGACTCGTTTTCACATAGGTTATTATTAGGCGAACCCAACTATTTTGAACACGTTCACTGCGGTACCAAGTATTTCTCATGCTTATTGCTATGGGCTGTAAACATGGGGTCGAGATTTCAAGAAAAATTGAACATCCACCAACTAAGCAGAAATTTGACGGCAAGGCAAAATTGTAAGAGCAAAGTAATTGATTACAAAACTTACCTTAGTAATAGTCTTTTGAGCATTTAAGGTAGCAATAGTTTCACCAACTCCTGCATGTAGTCAGGTTTATAAACGTTTAATTTTCTATGACATCACAAACAGCACTCAAAAAAGGCATAAACATCCCAAGCGTGAATTGAAGATCCTAAACAATAAAATTTTATTGAAACATAACTTGATTTACTCGGACATACAAAAATTTAAAGGAAACAGATTGATATTTACTCTGTAAATGTAGTCTCAAAATGTTCAGTGTGTCAACAGAAGTAAAATTAGATTATGTTCTTTTCATATTCTATATTAGGAAGAAAATTTTGAAATTACATCAGATATCTTCAGCAATTTTCATAGAATTAGCAGAATTCCATTAATGTATTTGGAGTGTTAGCCAACGTATTCTACACCTCTACGTTTGAGGCTTTTTATTTGTTTATCTATATTTCTGTATTCAAACAATGTTTTCTTTAGATTACATCAAAACAAAAAATGTCAATAATATCAGAAGTTTTGTGTAACAAAGAAGGCGAAGCAATTTACAGCGAACACAATCAAGTTCATGCAGAGTTCCAAACTCACTCTCATAGAATTGTATCTTCTTTTCAAATTTGCGTTCGGCTTTAGATTTCGAATCCGACCTTGAGCAACAACAGACAAGAAAAATTAGGATTGGCAAAAAAAAGGAATAAGAAGCTGCGCCTAGCCTAAGAAAGGATAACTGAAAGTACGCAGTCTTACCGAGAGGTTGGTTTGCCCATTATTACAACTTGCAAGCTTTCTGATGACTTGAATCTAAAGAAGGAATTATATTATAGAGACCTCCAGCCTACCGACGCTTCAAATCGAAANACAAAAAAAAAAAAAAAAAAAAAAAAAAAAAAAAAAAAAAAAAAAAAAAAAAAAGAGAAGATGAACAATCAGATAAACAATAACCAAGAATTCGATTTCTACTCAGTCGATGGCAAACATATGGCCTACCTGGTTACGAGCGTTTACTCTCGGAGGAAATCGGCGACCACAAGCAGGCAACCACGGGCGGGAAATCGGCGGCCACTAGAGATGAAGTAGGGTTTGCGCGGTTTTTCCAGTTTTTATCTTTTTCCGTGCGATTTTTATTTAAAATTCGAAGAAAATTAAGTTTTTTTTTTTTTTTTTTTTTAATATAAGCAATTTATGTTTGGGCTCAGCCCAATGTTCTGAAATCTATCATTAAAATATTTTTCCATATTTTTCCAGTCAGTTTTAGGAGGGCTGTGACATGTTCTTCAGTGAACTCAAAAAGTTCTACCAAACAATGTCAAAACTGATGGGAACAACGAAGAACAATAGTATGATATTGTACACTTTGACCATAAACTCTTAACTTTATTTAAAATGTCTTGTACTAATAGAGACAATGTTTACTTATAGACTCATAATCTTTCACTTGATTAGCTGATGCGGGTTCCAACCGTTCATCGAACTTACCTAATTTACATATCATTCATTCGTACGTTCTAAATTCTACAATCGAAAAGCTAAAAGAGGACGTAAAAGCTAAAAACAAACACAAAAGTGGTCTCAAAAGAGGAATAAAGGACAGAACATAATGATGAAAACGATCGTCCTCTCTAGGTGGTAAGCTAAGCCCTTAAAATCCCATGCAAAAAGTATAAAAGAACTTGAAAACTGATGAAAGCTTAATAATAATAAATAAATAAATTGTATTTTTTTAAAAATTTGTGCCATTACTTTAATAAAGCTTAATTTTTATGAAATAAATATTCTTCCTTCTCATCATATTCTCACAAGAATTCACTTCTTTGTCAAAAGATTGTGTTAGTCAACAGATTTACATTATTGTAGTTTCTTTCTAATAATTTCGAGATTGAACCCGTAATGTTCGTGGTCATCTTTAATTTTATCTTGTGTGGAAGGATTAATATAATTAAATTTTTTGTATCTCGTCAATTTATGTTTGTGGGTTTATCATGCAGATATCGCCGGTTACGTAGATGTCTTCTACACCCTAATAAGAAATGGTTTGTTCTTCTCTCCAACCAGTGCAAGATCTCACAATAATCTACCTCTCTTAAGAGCCCAACGTCTTTGTTGACACCCCGTTCATTATTTAGCTTTAATATCATTTGTAATAGCTCAATCCTACTGCTAGTAGATATCATACATTTTGGCTCATTACTTATTGTGAGTAATCGATAAAAAAGGAAGACATTGGGATGTGAAATATAAAAATTGCATATAAACAAGCAGATTTAATTTTGTTTTCCTTTTATGTTGACAATCTGTTGTGTTAAAGCAGACCAAATCATTAAGATTTTCAGAAAGAACTGAGATTGAAACAATGTTGGACTCCATGATTATTCCTCATTGGATCATCAAATTTAAAAGGGAAATTCATAATTACAAGTTTCTCTAAATTTTCACTATAATGATCCAATGATTTCTCAACCAAACTTTTGTATCTTTTTCCCCTCTTCAAACCCCAAATATGATGTTTCAATGATTTGTAAAAATCTAGATAATCAAATACGATATTAGAACGCTCTTAGATAGAGGTTTTTACGTCTTTGTGAGAAATGTTTCATTCTCTTTTCCAACTACCAATGGAGGATCTCACAATCTAACCCCGTCGAGGGTCCAATGTCTTTGCTGGCACACCACTCTGTGTTTGCCTCTAATACCAACTGTAAACTACCGCTAACATATATTGTTATCTTTGGGCTTTTCCTTATGGACTTCTGTTGGGAAGAGGTTTTTACATTCTTGTGAGAAATGTTTTGTTCCCTTCTCTAATTGATGTGGATCTCACAGAAAAAGGTCAAGGAAAGTATCGAATTGCGAAATCTACAATGGTCAATATTATCGATATTGAGCCGTGTCATAGAGTTGGATGGGAGGGTCCAAAGTGTATCAATAAAGTTTGCAATATTAACAGCAAAGCTAGAACTTGCATTGGGATCACTGGGGGAGGAGATTTATGAGTTTGACTATGAAAGTGAAAGCTTGAATATGGTGACAGATTAAAGTGAAGCTTCTTGGAGACCCAAGTTTTGGAAGCCATTCTGCTACCTATCACTTTTGACCCAAAAGTGGCCTTCTGGGTTTTGCATATCATTTTCAAAAAAACAAAGTGTTCATATAATGTTAGAATCTTGTCTTAATGGAAATTGGTTTGGCGTTCTTTTATTTGAGATTCTTCCGGTTCTCGATCGTTCATAAATGTTTCAAAACTATCTTAGAAATAGGAAGAATTGTTAGAACGTTGGACGAGATACGTTTGAATGTCGTTCTTTCAAGTTTAATCCAAGTAGCAAGCCTTCTGATCACTACTGGTTTTCCGTCCAATATTCTAAAAGATTTTGCGATATAAATGATCCTCGAGAAGGGTTTCGTCAAAACCCTTTATCCGTTCTTTCTCGACAACATTCCAACATTCTGCATCTTTTATTACATATAAAGAACACATTGATATAATTAAACATTGAATCAAAGTGAAAAAGTGAAAGAAAGGAAGAAAAATCTTCCTTTTCTTACTCTAAAAAATTGCAGAAATATCCCTTCCTTCCCACCTTTAAGCCTTTAGCAGTTCCTCTTTTGAATTCCTGCTGTTCTCCATTCTTCTTTCAAACTCTCTCTCTCTTTCTCTGTCCCAATAAAGCTTCCTCTTATGAATATGATACCATTTTCATGGACCCCTTCTGATCAAATGATACTCAATTCATTTGGAACCAAAAGAACTTGCAGCATATCATAAGCTCCTTGATCGTTAATCTCATACAATCATCACATTTTGATTCCTCTGACATAATAATGCAAATATTATTACTTTTCTTTCCTTTTGTAACAAAAGATAATTAGGATTAGTTCATCATTAAGTCATTTTTCAAGGAGGTGGCTGATTGTGGATTGTAGTTAAAAATAAAAGTTACTTGGAAAAGTGGGAAAACTAACAGGAGAAGAAGAGGGGATAGAAATGGAAAGACAGCCTAAAAGGGAAGAAGCCAAAATAGAAGAAGTTAGTATAAAAAGAATGGGACTTGGTCCATTCCCATCTTTCTAAAGCCTAACTCAACATCAGCTCAAGGTATTAGATGCTTCCATTTTCAGGAGGAAGAAGGCCAGCTTTAAGAAAGGCTTCTGCAACAACTACAAATTGAGGACTTCACTGAACTAAAGGAAGATCAAAGGAAGAAAGGAACTCTTTTTCTTGTTTTTGTTCTTGTTTTTTTTCTTTGTTCAAGGTGGTCGGGTGTTCTTCGAGGAGGGTAACTTGGTGGGGGTGGGATTTTTCGGGTAAGTGATGCGATCGGGAGGTTGTGCAGCGAATCAGACCTTCACACCGGAGGCTGCTTCCGTGCTTAAGCAATCTCTGAGCTTGGCAAGGAGGAGAGGCCATGCTCAGCTCACTCCTCTACATGTGGCTGTTACTTTATTCAGCTCAAGGAGTAGTAGTCTCTTGAGGCAAGCATGTTTCAAGTCTCAGCCACTTCAAACATCACATCCTCTCCATTGCAGAGCTCTTGAGCTTTGTTTCAATGTGGCTCTCAATAGACTCCCTACTACACCTGGTCCTCTTTTCCATGGCCAACCTTCACTCTCCAATGCACTCATTGCAGCACTCAAAAGAGCTCAGGCAAACCAGAGAAGGGGCTGCCTAGAGCAGCAGCAGCAGCAACAACAACAGCATCAGTCAGTATTAGCCATTAAGGTGGAATTGGAGCAGCTTATAATTTCCATTTTAGATGACCCAAGTGTCAGTAGGGTTATGAGAGAAGCTGGGTTTTCCAGTACTCTTGTCAAGAGTAACTTAGAGGATTCCTCTGTTTCCTCTGTTTTTCACTGTTATGGTAGCTCGGGCGGCATCTTCTCTTCTCCTTCTTCGCCTTCGTGTACTGACCATCATTTTAATCCAGGGGATTTTTGGCAGACCCAGTTCTTGACTCGCTCTTCTGAGCAAAACCCACTTCCTTTTTCCCCACAAAAGAGAGTTTCCAGCACTAACCTAATTGCTGAATCTTCCTCTTCTTTAAAGCTAGATATCAAGTGGGTGTTCGAGGCAATGCTTGGGAGGAAGAGAAAGAACACACTCATAATAGGTGATTCCATAACAATAATTGAAGATGTGATTTCAGAGCTTATGGGGAGAGTAGCAAGAGGAGAGGTTCCAAACGAACTAAAATCGACCAAATTTATTGAGTTTTTGCTATCTCCAGATTCCTTGAGCTCCATGAAAAGAGAAGACGTTGAAATAAAGGTGGCAGAGCTGAGAAGGAACATTGACTCCCTTGTATCAAGAGGGTGGGGAGCCATAATATATACAGGAGACTTGAAATGGATGGTTGAAACAGATGTTAAAGAAGCTTCAGGTTACAGCCAAATCGATCACGTAATCGAAGAAATCACGAGGCTAATATCATTCCACAGCATTTCATGCACAAAGTTATGGCTAATGGGAACAGCAAGTTATCAGACTTACATGAGATGTCAAATGAGATGGCCAACTCTTGAGACTCGATGGGATCTTCAAGCAGTTCCTGTTCCCTCAGATGGAGAACTTGGCTTAAGCCTGCACAGTTTCAGGTTTGTATTTCATAAATCCATTCCCTACTTGAAGCATAGAGATAGATAGCCTCATAAGCCAATGATGTTACCTGTTCTGCAGTGTTCATGGCTCGACACCGCCTTTCTCTCAGAACCCATCGCAAGTTTGGGAAACAAAGCCATTCAGTATTGCTCAAGAGGGCCAAGACAAGCACACTTGCTGTGACTGTTCTTCCAATCATTATAAGGAAGCTCAGAAATTAGAGTCAAGCCAGCAGAAAGAGTTGCTTTCCTGGCTGCAGCCCTTCAGCACCCAACTATCTCATCTTAAGGTACTAATATAGAATCCACCTCTTTCATGAAGAACTTGACTAATACCTGAAATTTAGTGCATAGAAAACCAATGGAACTTAGTTGGTTCGATCACTTCGCTTTAAAGAATGTTCGGTTGATTCAGTTTTGGTTAGATCATTGACATATTCAACATTTCTTTAACATTACGAATGTACTAAACACATGGCTTACATTCTAGCTAAGCTCATGTTGAATCCTACGTTGTTAACATCTCAACATGGTTTACTTTTTTGGTGTCCTCAGAATCATCAGGAGAATTCAACTATGCACAGCAATGAAAGTTCCAGTGGAAGCAAGTACCAGAATACTTGGCCACATCCATTTTCGACTAGGAACAGCATGTTCCAAGATTCAGATACAATCAGCTTCACCGAACCAGCAGTGAAAATGACGCAAAGTTCAAATCAGATGCTTCGGTTTAGGCAGCAACAATCCTGCATCACCGAGTTCAATTTCGACAATGGAAATCACAGATATCAGGGTGCATCACCAAGCTTGGATTCTCTCAAGAACATGGAAGAAGATAACAAGGAAGTAAACATCTCTCTCTCTCTAGGTGATTCCCTGTTCTTCAAAGATCCAATAAAATTGGCAATTACGAAGAAGAGTGAAGAAGCCATGACACAGAGAGATCATCTGAGCAAATCATTGCAAGAGAATGTGCCTTGGCAATCAGAGACCATTCCTTCCATAGCTGAAGCATTGATTAGTTTCAAATCAACAAATGAAGAATTCTTTTGGATATTGATTGAAGGGGATGATCAGATTGGCAAAAGAAGGTTAGCTCGAGCCATTGCGGAATCTTTCTTTGGGACTGTTGAACAACTCTGCAAGATAAATGCGAGAGGTGACAGTGAGGCAACTTCATCTTCTCAAATCCTCGAAAACGCCATGAAATCACAAGAAAAACTGGTAGTCTTAGTTGAAGAGATTGATCGGGGAGATCCTCAATTCATGAAGTTCCTAGCAGATGGATTCCATGATGGAAAATTCGGAGGAATAGATGAAAAAGATGGAAATGCTCGGAAATTCATATTCATTTTGACCAGAGGTGGAGAACAAGATAAGGATACAGATTCCATAATTTATATGACACTGAATATCGCGAGCAATTCTGGTTTTGGAGCGCTCAGTGTAGACCAGAAGCGAAAATCTGAATGGGAATCCCCAAACAACACAAAGAAGCAAAGAAGAATCAAAGAAGAGGAAGAAGATGCAATCCCTAACACCATCGAGGCAGCAGTGAAAATCAACGGGAGCGGTAACCTATCGAGGCAATCAAGCTCTACCAACCTCGACCTAAACCTCAAAGCCGAGGAAGACGAAGAACCACAAGAAGAAACAGAGGAAGGCATACCTCTCCCTGGCGATCCAGAATCCGCAGCAAAGAACCTCCAAATCGAGAAGCAATTTCTCCACTCGATTCAAAACCGTTTCGTTTTCAACCAAACTCCATCATCAAGAAAAGAACAGAGAGAATCACTCAAGTCGAAGATCGTCCGATCATTTGAGGGAGTCATCAGGTCACAGAAACAGGCGAATTTCAGCGTGGAAGAGAGAGCACTGGAAGCAGTTTCATCAAGGTCAGATTCTTTCACCAAAAACGAGTCCAACAAATGGCTGACAGAGATTTTCGAAACGAGCTTGCGAGGCGTTGGATTTGGCGCGCAAGAAGGAACCAATGTGAAGCTGTGTTTGAGCGGAAAGGAAGACAGCGCCATTGAAAATGGGTTTATGGGCACATGCTTACCCAAATTCATAAAGCTTTCTTTCATGGACTGAATCAGCCACTACAGCCTCTTCTTCTTCTTCTTCGTCTTCTTCCTCTGCGCATGATCCATTGAAACCAGAAGGGGAAAAGTCCAAAATATCCTTCCTGTAACTTTTTTTTCAGTTTCCATTTTCTTTTTTTCTAATATTTGGAGATTTAGTCATATTAAATTCCACTAACATAATCAAAAAATTTTATTTTTGTAACTTTTTAATTTAATATAAAATTCGTTACTTTTTATTTTATTTATTTATTTACTAGGAGATAATAATCATTTGGATGAGTTGGAAAACATTGGAGTATGATGAGTCATCATTATTGACTTGATGGATCAGACATTTACATTCCGACGTGGAAATTAATACCCGGAATTATCTATTTAATTTAGTTCCCAATTCAAAATCTCCCATAAATTAAAACATTTATAAATAAAAAATAAATAATAAAAAAAGGTGGAACCGCAATGTTTGACGACTACAAGAAAGAATCTGAATTTGCACATGCAGTTATGGCCAATTTCTTTATTTTATTTGGGACCAAACCCTAAATTAATTTCCCTTATAAATACCTAATTATTTTTTCTTATTATAAAACTACCTTTTTATTTTACCCTAAAAATCAAATATGGTACAAACTTAAATATCATTTTAAAATTTTATTAAATGAATATTTAAATTTTATAAATATTTAAAAATGACTGAATTTATAATTTTAAAATAAAAATATATATATATTTTCCCATTTTAAAAAGAAAAAGACGTCGGTAAAGTCCAAATTAATTAAATAATTCCTTCAATTATAATAAATTGTCGCTTTTTCCTATGTGGCCAATGCGCTCTGATCACAACTGACAAGTGGCTTCCCTTTCCTTTTGCATATACAATAAAAATAAAAAATAATAATTTTTAATTATTTTTAATAATGATAAATAAAATTTAAAATTAAAAGGGTAATATTTTCAAAAGTTAAATTTATTTTCCAATTGCCGAGTTGGTGCAAAGGGATATAAAATCCCAGAAGGTTACGATTCTCGTTTTATTATGGCAACGCGTGACGTGGATTTCCTGACGTCTACGTGGAAATCTCCGTCTGAAAGTGACGCCACGTCACGTAACAAAACTGTTTCAATTTGTTTTTTTTTTTCTTTTTTTAGATTTTTATTTTATAATTCTAATTTGTTTTACATTCCGATATAAGTAATGAAAAAATTAATTATAAACTTTATAAAAAATATATTGACATTAGAGAATATAGTGTTTAGGATAAAATATAATAATCATTATATAAAATTAAAATATATAAAAATGCTGAGACGTGATAGTTTTTTATTTTTCCTGAATATATTAATGAGTTTAAATGCATTATTAATAATATGTTTAAATTATTATTGAATTTCATTAAATAATCATAAAACATCTGATAAATGGTGGAACGCAATAATCATTGAGAAACGATTACACGTTTTTTATTTATTTAAAATAATATGTTTAAGTAATTATTAAAATAAAGATTTAAAAAGGTTAAAAATGAAGATGAAAAATAAGAAAGAATAATCTAGTATATTCATGAAAAAGAAAAGTGACAAATATTTATATTTTAAAAAATAATATTATTTCACTCACGAAGCCGAAATCCCTCTCTATAAATACCGGGTTCCACATATCTCAGGTTCTAAGTTCATTACAACTAAAAAGCGCCTTCCCCTTTCTCACCGTTTTTGCTTTTTCTTTTTCCTCTCTCTCTTTCGCTTTTCGATTCCCCTCTTCTTCATCTCGCTTTCCGGCTGAGGTTGCGCGCTCCGCCGAACAAACTCCTCTCTTGCCGCCGTAGAAGGAGAACTGAGAGACCGCAGAAGAATGTGGCTCGCATGCGTATGGGACGAGAAAGAGAAAGAGCTCGGTAGACAACAAGCGCCAGGAACGTGTCCTTTCTGTCGAGGCAAAGTGAACGCCATTGATGTCGAAAGGCGATGGAAGCTTTGTTTTCTTCCTCTCTGCCTCAAGATCAAGAGGAAGTATCTTTGTACTCTCTGTTCTCGCCGTCTCGAATTGTGCCACTGGTAGTAATTTAAGAAAGAAAAAGAAATTAGGTCTCGGTTCTCATCGAACTATCGATGGATCTAATTTGAACCGCTACTCGTAGTTCGTGTTCCCGTTCTTCCGTGAAGTGTTTGATTGAATTTTTGGAGAAACGGATGAGGATCAGGATTTGGATCTGACTCGATTAGATGCATCTAATCTTGTTGTTGTTTTTCTTTTTGTACAGCTTCGAAAACTGTAGATAGAGAAAGACTTCTCTCCGGCCTCTCCTAGAGGATTTTCCCCCTTTTAGTCGGTTTATATTAATTGAAATCTTTCTGCATCTTCTTGTTCTGTGATTTGATGTCTTAATTTGCAACTGCATGCCATTTTATGTGGTTGATTTCAGTTTAATGTTCTGATGGATGCTGGAATATTTAGAATATGCTGGTTTTTTTGTACCTTATGTATCAATAAAATAAAATTGAAGTAAATTTATGACGATCTCCAATAAATGAACATTGATGGATACTATTAAATAGAACTAGATTTGAGTAATTAAATTAAACTTCACAATGCGGATCTGATCACCATTCCAAAATTCAAGTTCTCTTTTCCTTACCAACCGAATAGTTGGTAGGGAATGAATGATGTCTTTAATCTCATTTTCGACAAAATAATAATAATATTAAAAATAAAATACGTGTTTCCAGAATAATTTCTCTACTTTCCAATTTAATATTCTTAAGTATTAATTAAGTTCAAATTTTATTATAGTATTTTCTTGAAGTCTTAAAATCGAATTACAATTACTTAAAACATTTTCATGTGAATTCTAATATAGAAATTATTATTATTACTATTTTACAAAATTAAATAAATATTACTTCGTCCAAATTTATGAAAAGCTTGGAGACGAGATTTGAACATTTAAAACTGTATAGATTAGAATGGGAGTGGTAGAAGTTGTCAAAATAGGGCCAAATTATATGTATGACATTTGAGGAGTAATTTCCTTTTCCCCACGAGTGTTTTGGTCAAACATAACGAAAGAGATAATGGATTTGGACACATCAACTTTTACTTGGATCAAAACACGAAATCCACGTTTTATTTGTTCATTATATACATACATACATACACACACACACATATATATAGATATATAGAAATATATATAAACCAAGCGAAGTAATGGAGTTCTTGAGTTCGTGATGGAGTTCTTGAGTTCGTGATGGAGCTCTTGAGTTCGTGATGGAGCTCTTGTTCTTCTTTATTCTAAAGAACTGAAACAGAGGAGGATTACATTGAAACACAGACCTCATTCATTCATTCCAGAGAACAGTCAATTTTGTTCACTGATCTGTTGAAGGCGAGGACGTCCGCAGCCTCGTCAGCCTCCGATCCACCGCCCTTCTCGCCGGCAACGATTGCTTCACGAATCAAGAGCTTCGTCGTCGGATCCATTGTCTCGTTACCCCTGCCGCCGTCGCTGGATTTGGATTCCGTTTTCGATTGTTGTTCTTGTTGTTGCAGTGGAGACTGCTTTTGGTGATTCGCCTCCATCTCTCTCCGCCGCTGCCACCGCCTCCCCTCCTCTAGCCTCCGCCATTTTAATGACAAATTCAGGAACACGTGTCCAGCAGGAGAAACCACAGCTGGACACGTGGCGACATGATAATATTTCGATAAGCTTGAACAGAAAAGCTTAATTTATTCGTATATTTCAAATTAAAACATATAAAATACAAACATTTTAACAATCATTGCATTTTTAGTGTTAAAATTCGACTCTTTCACCATTTGAAAAAATATAGATTTAAATCTATTTCTAAACAAACCACTATGAAAATTATAATATCAGTAATTTACTTATTTCAAGAGATTTAAATTACTAAATATAATAACAATAATAAGAGAAATTATCACTACACTGGCCCAGAAAATGGCAATCAAGAACATGAAAGTCCTGACATATAAATAAAATAAAAGGGGAACACAAAATTTCTGGAATAAAATCAAAATTTAAACCGTTCTCAACAATAATAATTCATGGATAAAAAGTACACTAATGATGAAACAATAGTAGCAAAACATTCTGATTCCAAAACCGATACTTCAAATGATAAAAAACCTATAAATCCATAAACTTTGGAGAAACAACACAAAATGTAAAAAACCTAATTCATCCTTCTGATTAGCTCGTTGATGTAGTTCTCGCGGTTCCCAGCGTCACCTCCTTCCACATAGTGATTCCTCTTCTTCTTAAGACCACCCAGAGGAGCTTTCAGCTTGAAGGGCCACAGGAAATTGTTGGCTTCCTTAAAATGGGGTCCCACTGTCAAGATCTCATGGATGAGGTCTTCTGTGCAAATAATTCCGAACTTCCCAAGAGCCTGGAACAAACAAACCCATCAGAGTTGTATTTATATAACAAAATACAATACTTGTTTCATTCAAGCTACACACCTGCTCAATGATGGAGTTGTCAGTCAAAGCAGTTCTTCGTTTGTTGAGTTTTCCAAAGCCTCTCTTGTAAATGAGTTCTTTAACACTCTTCAAGTTGGGGTACCTTAAAGTATCAGTTCAGTAAAACAAGACGAGTTAACTTTGATCCCTAGAAAACCCAAAAGAAAAAGAAAGGAGACATACATAAGAAACATACCCATATGTAACATATGGCTCCACTCTGTGTAACATATTCAATGTTGCCTTGTTCACTTTCAAGAAGACACCATTGAAAATCTGCAGGTTGGTAATCGTGTGAGGGGTAAAACATGGAGATATATTTGCAATGAACAGATTTCCAACAAAATCAACCAAGGGGTTTATAATTTCAGGAGTGTTTCTACGTCAAAATGTTAATATGAACAAGATACATGCGTAGCTGTCTATAAATATACAGCACAGAAGAATATAATAGTCAAAACCCAAAAAAGTAATTTAGTGTCACAGCCTTCTTCACCATTAAACATACAGAAACTAAATCATTCAAGTAAACTACCAAAAAGAACTCCTTAAATGACCGAAGCATATATTTCTAAGAGAAATGAAATTACAGACAATGGGTTCTGTCAGGGAAACAGTTGAGACCCAGAACCCTATTATTTTCGAACTCAGAGACTTTCCAAGACCACTGTCAGGGAAAGTGATCAGGAACAAGGCTAGACTCACTCTACGAGAAATCAGTGAATTAACTACCATATGTTGTATAAGAAGAGTGCAGCAACAAATAGAAACTAACAATGGCAAAACTATCATGCATCAAATAATTGTTTATTTGTGAGATAAAATTGAAACTAGACTAAACGAACAAAAATTCACTTGAAGAAATTGTCTAAATTCATTGTCTGTAATATGCAGTCAATGAAGTAATGTGTTACCTGTCTCAAACGCAGAAGCTGCAGAATCTTCTTAGTCTTTGGGTCAATAGCATTGATACTGAAAATCAAAAAAGCACAATAAAAACGCCGATATAAACGATTCAAGCAGTCCAAAATAATGATTTCTCACTAAAAAAAGACTCACCCTCGGATCCTGATAATAAACAGAAGTTTGGCCTCAGGGTCGACATAAAATCCGCCCTTGAGTCTAGCCTCGCGCTTCAAACGAACCAACTCCTTTTGCTGCTCATCATACTCCTTGGCATAGAGCTTAGCCCTGTTAAAGATCAGTTTCCTGTTCTCAGCATTCTTCTTCTTCGCAGCCACTAGATCTTTTTTCTCAGCCAGAGCCCATTCTTCGTTCCTTTTCCGCTTCTTCAACACGGACTCCGGAACCACCGGGTTAGCCTTGACTCCTTCCGCACTCATTTCTCTAAACGAAACCAAAGTAAGATCAAAATCCAAAAACTTAAATCAATCACAAAACAAAAGGCAGAAAATAGAAGATAAAAACTTCATTGACATTCTTCAAAATAAGAAAAACATTGCGCTTCTCGTCAACACTACACACGATTACTACAGATTCTTAGAAGTCATGAAATAGAAACAATAATAAGAGATGAAAATGAAGAAAAATAGAGAAACATACTTCTTGCTCAGATGGTGGAAGTTGCGGCTGCGGAGGTCTTTGCGCGAAAAGGGTTGATCAATCAGAGTGGCTCTAGGGTTTTAAAAGGATCCTTAGTTTCCAGGCCTTCGTCATCGACGGCCCAAAATCTTCTAATCTATTTACAATTAATCTCAGCCGTTGGAGTAAGTTAAATTATAAATCCTTCATTTTAAGTTCTCTTTTAAAATTTTCAAATATCTAATAAATATTCCGATAAATACTTAAAATTAGGATATTTCTCACTTCTTTTGATTCTCCAATATGTTTTTTATGTTTTTTTAATTACCTTATTTTTAAAATAACTTTTAATGAAAAAAAAAAACATAAAAGAAAAAAAAAACAAAAAAGAAGAAAAACTTAATTTAAAAAGATAAATTTTATTTCTTTTAATAGAAATAGAATAACATTTGATGTCAAAAAAATTATCTAATTATTCGTATATAAGAATTAAAATATATGAAATTAGTCATTTGACAAGGCAGAAAATATATTCCATTATTTTGATTTAATTAAATATATTGCTTTTGACAAGGTATAAAAAAAACAACATTCAAATAATATTGTCCACGAGTACATTACTCAATATTTGATTCTAATATTATTTGTACGGTCTAATTTTATCATTAACAAATATTGTCCTTTTTAGGTTTTCTCTCTAGAACTTTCTCTTAAGGTTCTTTAAAACACATATACTGAGGAAAGAATTGCAGACCTTAAGAATATTTTATTCCTCTTCACCCACCAACGTAGAACCTCACATATTAACTCAACAAGAATCATAAATGATATCTAATATAATTTAAGTACCATTCGATCTATAGTTTTGTATTCTACGTATATACAAATATGTATTAGTTTTGTATTCTACGTATATACAAATATGTATTAGTTTTGTAAAAAAATTAAAAAAGAAATCATGTGGAGAACTACAAAATGGATTAATAATAAGTTCAAAATCGATGAGGCATAGCCCATTCATGGACTCCTTCAAAAACAAATATGATGCTAAATATTGGACATCAATTCTTTAGAGTTTCTACTCTATGGAGGAACATACGACCAAAATTTTTTCAGAGATGGAAACTTCATTCATGAATGATCAAAAGCAGTTAAAGACCAGAATCGTGAATCCCATTAAAATATGGTCAATCCTCATCAGAATAATTGAACTTTACTGAGTGAGATTGCAGATCTATCACCCCGCCTCGGTATGACCCACGCTTCTTCTTCGTCTTTTCATGTCGAAAACCCCTACGAAATTAGTAAATTTGAATTACGAAACTGTTTCATAAACCAGAAAATACATTGAAATTCCCTTCACAAGACTCGGTATAACCTCTGAGCTAGAAGTTTAAGTAGAAATGAAAAGAGAAAAAACTCATGAAAAATACCTTCCTTTAACCTGGCCAAGAACCTCTTGAGCTTTTGCACCATACCCAGTCTCGGCTCCACCCTGCGCAGTATCATAGATTACAAGTAAGAAACAAAAGAACCCACTGAAAAGACAGCAGCAAAAAGGTTAACATCATAATAAGCAGGAAATCACACCTTCGCCCAGTATGAATTATCTGCGAGTTTCTCATCAGCAAATGTCACAGCATCTACTTTTACCCTTTGGAACGCATTAATGGTCTTTGGCTGCAATTATATCATCATATTATATCAGCTAAAGTTGAATTTGTATCAAATTTAAATGAACCTCTGAGCTAAAGATAAGGATTAAAATTTCAAACATTGATCCCACTACCCTTATGATCACTGGTCTTTGGCTACAATCATAATTTGTAGAATTCACTTGCTTCTAACTAGAATCACAAAATGCTATAAACATAATTTTTTGTATATAAAAAAGGCACCTCTCAAAGGGAGAAGAAATTTAGGAGTAGAAGAGCTGGATTGCTCGTGGAGTTGACAAGTTAATGATGTTTTTCATATCTTTGGAGGGTCTTCTGCAAACATCAAAATATTTGCGTAGATATGTGATGACAATATTAACATACCTCAGTTGAGCCATTTGAAGATTTCTTCCAAGGTTTCTTTGAAGAAGTTTTCTCTGCGGTTTTTTCAACATCTGTCTCCTGAGAAAGCTCATTTACATCAACCTTTGTAGACAGCACACCATCATTGCATCCTTTTGAGCCTTCTAATTTTCTACGTTTAACATCTTCGGTTTCTTTATCATCGACTGCATGACTGTCATGACTGTCGTTATCTTCAGAAGCCAATCTTTTCCTTTTCTTAGAATTGTCGTTGTGTTCCTCTTCGTGTAACATCTTGGTACCATCATTTAGCTGGTTTGAATTTGTGTCACTTAAATGTCGACCATCCTTTTTCTTCTTACTTTTGGATTTGACGACCTTTTCGTCAAGAGTGGCAACATTACCATTCAATCCATTAGAGTCTACAGCTTGAGAATCTCTTGCAACAGTTACATCATCGGGGATTGTAGCAACAGTCTTTATCTTCTCTTTGTTCTTCTTTTTCTTTTTATCCTTAGATTTCTTTCCCGCCTCCTCATGGACAGTAGTGCCTTCGGAAGGTTCTGTGCCATTGGAGTTTTTCAAACTCTCCACATGTGCAGGTTCTGATTTCTCTTTATCTGCAACTGTATTCTTTTTTATTTTCTTTTTATCCTTGGACTTCTTTGCAGGCTCCTCTTGTTCTTCAGGAACCCTATCATCGGTAACCTCCGTCACAATTTCTTCATCTACTAGATCAAAACCAACACGAGGAGATGTGTGCATTTAAAATCGATAATTTCATGTTGTATTAATTTTATATAAAAAAAAAATATAGCAAATTAATAAATTTATAAACGTAGACAATATGAGGATACCTGGTTTATTTTGGGGTGTGACGGCTTGACTACTGCACATTAGAATTTTAAGTTAGATAAATGAATTCATTTCAAGATCTACTAAGATTGAGGCAAAAGAACTCAATAGAAAAGAAAAGGAACAAGATGCAGCTTGAGACTATTAGCATGACGATGAAATGTCAAAATCTGGAAAATTACCATGGTCACTAATGCTATCACTTGGAACATGGATAAATGATTTATGAACATCTATTATGAAACAAATGGGAACTAATTTAAATGCTTAGCAGAACCAGCAATTGCGTTGAAAATAAGTTACACGTTCATTAACATGTTTATACTTAAAATGCTAAGATTGAGGCACATTTCTGATTAAGTTACACGTTCATTCAGTAACAGACAGTAATAGAGAGAATATATGAACCTACAATTTCTTAAAATGCTTGTGGCACATTTCTTCGAGACTAAGCAATAACTCCTTTGAAGAATCCTTCTGCACGAATACCAACAGAAATGGTAATTTTTTCAATAAAGATACTAGCGGCCAAAATTAACATTTGAGATGAAAGAAGTTGTGAGAGAATAAGAATCCACACTAGAACCAAGTTAAATTACAGTAAAATAACACCACATATCCCCATCTAACAGCAAATAGAAGGTCTCGGAGTGAATTTTTTTGCAGTACTTCAGACTATTATAAAGAACTAGTAGTAAACTTGTTCTATAAAATTATGAAAGTAGGATTAAACCAGACTGTTCGAAGAAAACGCAAACATTTCTAATGAGAAGCTCATGAATAGGATTTAGCCACCAACTCCGTGCTATGGGATTCGATTACGTGATTCATCTAGCAAGCGACATGAATTGCGTAGCATAATGGGCAACCAGTGAATAATACAAAATTAACCAGTGGATAAAGGTCTACAGTGCGAATAACTGTTTTTCTAGAGACATGGAAGAAGTACGGACCTCAATCTGCGCTTCGGAACGAAACTTTTTGAGGGTTTTGGAGAAGCCATTGTGCTCCAAAAAGAAAGCTACAGCGTGAAGAAGAAGAGTCCTCTGCTCCGGGTGTAAGGATGCGGCTTCATCGGCAGACTTGGGAGTTTGGGCGTCGTTTCTTTGCTTCATAGCGTGGTGGGAGAGAAGAACTTGACGAGGTTTGAAGGCGAGAAGAGATGGACTAACAGAATTGGTTAGGGTTCGGGACATGCGCCTTCTCGCGTTGAAGAAGAAGACTGCTTCTTCTTTCGCGCTAGGGTTTATGAGCTGGTCTCTTCCCGGGGTTTTCCCACTTTCCCTCTCCTGATTTTCTCTCTCTTCTTTTTTTTTTTCTTTTTAAAATTATTTTCTTTTTATGATAAAATGAAATTATTATCGTCAAATAAATTACTAATAAATATCATTTTTTTTTTTTTTTTTGAGTTCTTAAACATTTGAAAGGATCAATATGATTTTTTTTTACAAATAAATAAACAAATTACCACTTAATTAAACTCATATTGGTATTGAATATATTTGAATAACAAAAATTAATTTTTTTATTTTTTAAAAATAAATCAATAAAATTGAATAAAGTAATTTTCATTTTGATTTTGAAAACTTTTAATTTTATATTAAAATGCCTTTAAAATTTTAAAAACTTAGTTGGACATATAATTAACTGTATTAATTGTATAATTGTCTAAATTAGCCACAAATTTAAATGAAGTTATAACAATTATAAGTCAACGTGTGTTCCGAGTCAGACAATTGAAATCGAATAACTTTCTATTCACACTACCGTCAGAACATCCCGATGTCGGGTAATCATATGGTAAGGAGTTAAAATGAAAACGTTGAGAAAAGATACAATAACTTATGAGTACAAATTAATAATTATAGGACAATTATTTTGTGAGGTTAAGATGAAGAAGACGATGGAAATGGTGCATTGCATTCTCGACCGAAGGAGCATATCGACCGAACTTGTAAGCAGGCGACTCGAGACCCTTTTGAACACCTTCACACAGAATAATGTCTTCAATCTGAAAATTATTTGGACCAATGTGTAAGAGAGAAAGAACAACTGAATTAAAGGAAAGGGGTGGATTTGTTTGTAATACCTGCACACTTTCACTGTCTTCTAAACTTTGTTGTATAAATGATTCGTCATTCTGAACATGAAATCAAGAGAAAACGTATAAACTCGAATGAACTGAAAAACTTCGATAACACAAGCTCAGTTTTTGCTGAGTTTTCGTGTTAACCGAGCAGTCTTTTTAATAAATCAAGAACACGAGTGAGAACTTGTAGCATATTCATTAGTTTAAAAGACTCGAAAGTACCTTAAAAGGGGTTTCGAGAAAATAATCGAAAACCACTAGACATTTTTGAGGTCCGAGTGGGAGTACTAGATTAGTGTCCATCCAAGGTCCATATCTGTTATATAACCCGGAAAACGACGAGACGAACATCAGCAAAAAAACGTCTCGAAACATAAATAGCCAAAGAGCCAGATATGTTGATGTATCCAAGAAGTACCTATTTATCATGAAGTTTGGGTATACAAAAGCATATAGTGCTTCTGGTCCAAGTCGACCATAATCATCGCCTTTTGATTCTCCCCCACCCTTACAACTTTGAATACTAACAGCTTCAAATATCTACATCACGAGTTATATACTGAAGTAAACAGACACTAAAACAGCAAATTGTATGAAAGCATAATGCCATAATAGTTTGGTAATAAATTTAAAACGAACAGTCAACGTACTTCTGTAGAATACGACTCGAGCTTGAGATTTGATGCAAGCCCTTTGTGTGCATACGGGACGTGATACCCTCCGTCTAAGTAGTTGTCACAAAAAACCTACAAAAAGCCAAACCCCATAAGAATTGTATAATGGTCAAAGCCCACCGCTAGCAAATATTATCCTCTTTAGGCTTCCCCTCAAAGTATTTAAAATGCGTTTGTTGGGGAGAGGTTTCCACACTCTTATAAAAAATACTTCGTTCTCTTCCCCAAGGTGTAATGGCCCAAGCCCACCGCTAGCAGATACTATGATATTTGGGCTTAGTTTTTAAAATGCGTTTGTTAGGGAGAGGTTTCCACACCTTTATAAAGAATGTTTCGTTCTCCTCCCTAAATGGAGAAGCCTAAAGAGAACCATATCTGCTAGTGGTGGGCTTGAGCTATTATAGATCGCAATCATATATGACCATTTTTGTAGACGGATGCAAGGACTATACCTTCCAATTACATTCAATGGTGTATTCACGTCGACAGACAAAACTTAAAGAAGCATCAACTCCATTTAAACTCAGCAAATCTGCACAGCTTCCCAGCCATTCATATGCCACTTTATCTTCATCAACAACCAGCTCAGATGATAATTTTTCATCCATATTGAGAAGAACGAACGGCCCCCATGTCGCTACGGGTAACGGTACGAGCCCAAAATCCTAATCTCCATTAAATAAATCAACCAACTATTAAGCCATTCAGAAATATCATATCAAAATGGTTATAATTACATACATTTACATCAAAGTTCTGTATTCCATTTATTCTAGTCGCCTTAAGCAGCCCTCCATCCAACCCATATGTCCATCCCTGCATAAATTATGGAATAACCCTGTTCAATATATATATATATATATAGAATCTCACATCCCAGGAAGATATGCAAGTGAACTCACATGATATGGGCACACAAAGCAGGACTTCTTCCCACATCCAGATGCAAGAAGTGAGGCATGATGGCGGCAGACATTGTGAAATGCACGAACCTTCTTGTTATTATCTTTGCAGACAACGTATTCTACATTTCCCAACCTGCCATGGACAAGGAGACAGCGCAAACAAATTTTACAGACCAGCTATGGTGGGGAAGAACACATATCTCTAGCATCCCATATGTTATACTCAAAGCACTGGAAATTTCAACTGATTCAACTCCATATTTGGTTAAATTACTGTTCTTTAGATTTTATACTATTGGTAATAAATGGTAACAGACAATTAATCACACCTGCCTGTGAAAAAGTCATGGGGATCTTTTAACTGTTCAACGTATCCTGAGAAGCCAAGGGCACAAGAAGTTGATGATCCATGCATTAGTATTGTCAGAGTTGTAATCTAAAGAGGAAAAAAGGGAGCATATTGCATTAGGTGTAAAACAAAGAGTACATAGTTTCAATGGGATTAGCCTGCTTTGAGTGCAGGAGAAGCCCCATAAAGAATTACTCCGTCAAGCAGCAAGAACTCAGTTAATGCATATACTAGTACATATTGTCCGCTTTGGCCTTCACGGTCTTAAAATGCATCTGTTAGAGAGAGGTTTTCACACCCTTATAAGGAAGGCTTTGTTCTTCTCTCCAACTGATGTAAGGTTCTCCTCTCCAACAGAAGTGGGATCTCACAATCCATCCCCTTGGAGGCCAACGTCTTTGTTGGCACACTATCTGGTGTCTGGCTCTAATACCATTTGTAATAGCCTAAGCACACCACTAACAGATATTGTCTGCTTTAGCTCGTTACGTATTATCGTCAGTTTCACGGTTTTAAAACGCGTCTGTTAGGGAGAGATTTCCACACCTTTATAAGGAAGGTCTCCAGGAGGGTGGATTGTGAGATCCCACATTGGTTGAAGAGGGGAATGAAACATTCGTTATAAGGGTGTGGAAACCTCTCCCTAACAGATACGTTTTAGAATCGTGAGGCTAACAACGATACGCAACGGATCAAAGTAGACAATATCTACTAGTAGTGGGCTTAGATTATTACTTGGTCACACTTAGACTCTGGTTGAGTTACTCTTACCAGTCGCAAATATGTCAGCTCGAAAATCACCCCTAACCGCCCATGAAAGGAGTCATCAAACCATGGAGATCCTCTCTTTTCTTCTTCTCCTAATTTAGTTCTTCCATTTGTCAAGCTCTGAAGGCAGCTCCTCTCTTTCTAGCTTGAGATCACGAGAAGGAAATACTAAAAGATGGTTTCTGAAAGCTTAACATCAACGAAATGACTTGGCTGGGAGAGATTTAGAATTAAGGAGCTCGAATGTCTAAATAGTTAAAAAATCTCCATTATAATCACAGATCGCACTGAAATCAAGCAATTAATCTCCTCGCTATGAAGCTACAGTTAAATAGAATCGCAAAAGAAGAAGAGCATCAACAATTTAGAGATGGAAGCGAACCTACGGCCTGCCATCCTCTGTGGAAGACACGATCGAGCTCGAGAGCGAAAAATGAAGGATCGGTGTACCAGGAGCTGGGTGGAGTGACGGCCTTCTCCAAGGGAATTTCGGGGTCGAATTCATCAACGAGTTTCAGAGCTTCAATAAAGTGAGAATCAGAGTTACGAAAGGATAAAGTCGGCGAGATTCGTGTGGGAGAACGATGACTGCGCGACTGAAAATTGAAGGAAGCGAAAAGAGGTTGGAAGAAGTGAGTATGGATATGCTTCGTTAACGCCGCCATTGCAGCAGCCCCCAAGCTTCCCTCCGGCTAGTTGTATTCTACAGTTATCGGTTGGTATTTCGTAGATTTTATTTACGATGCCGTTGAAAAGAATGACGAAACAAAAAAAAAAAAAAAAAAAAAAAAAAAAAAAAAAAAAAAAAAAAAAAAAAAAAAAAAAAAAAAAAAAAAAAAAAAAAAAAGTCTCAATAGAATACATACTTTGTGTTACATATTTTGCGTAGATTTTATTGCCTTATTTAATTTTAAATAATTAAAATAATTATTAGTATTTAAGTAATTCATTTATTTAATAAAAAAATTCATTATATTTTTAAAAAATTATTATTGATTTATTATAATAAATTTGTAAACTAAGAGCAATTAATTAATTAAATGAATTTATTCCGAATAAAATAAATTAAAGCATAGAATGCTATCAAATTTTTATATAAATAAATAAATAACTTTTTTTATAGTTATTATATTGTTTCTTTGAACTTTCTCTTTCGGGGTTACCCCAGAGTTTTAAAATGCGGAGGTGTTTTTTTAGTTATTATATTTTCGGTCAATCCCACGTCTGTTAGGACCTCTCCCTAACAAAGGGATTTTAAAACTGAGGAGAACCCCGAAAGAGAAAGTTCAAAGAAACAATATCTACAAGCGATAGGTTTGGACCCTTCTAACAGATGCGTTATAAAACGTTAAGGAAAGCCTAAAAGGAAAGGTTCAAATAGAACAATATCGGCTAAGAATGGATTTGAACGGTTACATACTGTTGGATGATGAAAGTCCCACATCGGTTAATTTAGGGAATGGTCGTGGGTTTATAATCTAAGAATACACTCTCCATTGGTCTGAGGCCTTTTGGGGAAGCCCAAAGCAAAGCCATGAGAGCTTACGCTCAAAGTGGACAATATCATACCATTGTGGAGAGTCGTGTTCGTCTAACATGGTATCAGAGCCATGCCCTAAACTTAGCCGTGCCAATAGATTGGCAAATCCTCAAATGTCGAACAAAGGACTCCAAAAAGGAGTCAAGCCTCCTTGAAGGTACGAAGGCAGTCAAAAATGACTAAGACTCCAAAGGAGTCAAGCCTCCTTGAAGGTACGAAGGCAGTCAAAAATGACTAAGACTCCAAAGGAGTCAAGCCTCGATTAAGGGGAGGCGTGCTTTGTTCGAGGGGAGGTGTTGGATGATGAAAGTCCCACATCGGTTAATTTAGGGAATGGTCATGGGTTTATAATCTAAGAATACACTCTTCATTGGCATGAGGCCTTTTGGGAAGCCCAAAGCAAAGCCATGAGAGCTTATGCTCAAAGTGGACAATATCATACCATTGTGGAGAGTCGTGTTCGTCTAACATGGTATCAGAGCCATGCCCTAAACTTAGCCGTGTCAATAGATTGGCAAATCCTTAAATGTCGAACAAAGGACTCCAAAAGGAGTCAAGCCTCCTCGAAGGTACGAAGGCAGTCAAAAATGACTAAGACTCCAAAGAAGTCGAGCCTCGATTAAGGGGAGGCGTGCTTTGTTCGAGGGGAGGTGTTGGATGATGAAAGTCCCACATCGGTTAATTTAGGGAATGGTCGTGGGTTTATAATCTAAGAATACACTCTCCATTGGTCTGAGGCCTTTTGGGGAAGCCCAAAGCAAAGCCATGAGAGCTTACGCTCAAAGTGGACAATATCATACCATTGTGGAGAGTCGTGTTCGTCTAACACATACCACTCTAGGCTAGGGTAATCAAAATGCTAGCATTCCCACAAATAATGCAAGTCAAAATACTCTTCACTAAAACATTTGGCTGTAAGAGTGGTACAGAAAGAGGTCCAAGGAGATGAAAGGATCACCTTGCCAAATCCGGTTTCAAAAAGGGCCCTGTGAAAGGGGCTTTGATCATGGAGCATATGTAACTTACATTGCCAACATAATCTTCTCTCATGGTCAACATGTTCTAATAACATAACCTATTACTTCAAATCAATGAAGAGTTCATTATATGGTTGAGATATCACTTATACAGCATATCAGTCACTAGAGATTTATGTATATTGCTGGAAAGAATTGGATAGAGATCATGCTAGTAGTCAACTACCTGATCAACAAGATCAAGCTAGTATGATCCAAGTAGAAACAACATGAACAATGCATCAACCAAGTAAGAAAAACAAAGCTTTTAAGCCATTATTAGACCCAGTTTGGTTCTTCATATCCTGCAAAAAGTTCTTCGGAATAATACATTATCAAATAGAAAAGCACACAGATAAGTATAATTCCAGTGAAATCATAAGTTAAAACAAGCTGGGGAAGCTGGAGAGAGCCTAAAGAACAAGATTTCATCTTGGCTTAGCATTGAATAAGATCAAAGGCTGCAAAAAAGTTCCTCCGTTCCACGAGACAAAAGGGAATTTCGAGTAATTCGAAGTAGATCCTAAATTTCTCTACTGTATATCAACGAAGGTATGCAGGGATCTTAATACGAACGAAAAGCATACTCATAACATAGGCAATAACAACAGAAGAAATCCCAGCAGACGCATACCAAACCTTGACGCTCTTAGCGCGATTCCGATCAAGAGCAAGGTCCATGAGCACAATTCCCATTCCACCCAGTATGAACATGAAACCAGACGAGAGTCCCTCAATGATGTACTGACCATTGACGCGACCGGGAAGAAAAACCACAGGTCGGATGGATCCGGTTGCCGGGTCCTGAATAGATCCGATGCCGGGAGGCTCGACGATGACATCGTAGACGAAGCCGGAGACGACCATGAAGTACGTGAGGAGGACGAGGGCGTAGACGGTCATCGGAGAGGGGAGTGTCAAGGTCGGGAGCTTGAGGCGGAGGCGCGGCGGACGGAGGAAGGAAAACGGGAGAATGCGGAGGATATGGAAGATGGGGTCGATGGAGGAGATCGGAGAATCTGCCGAAGCGGCGGCGGAAGAGATCTGGGTGTAGGATTCGGATCTGGGAGGCATTTTCTCGGCCGGAGTGGATTCAAAGATCCTCGCTATGGAATTTGGAGTTGTTTTTGATTTGTTGCGATTTTGGGTGGGGAATTGGGTTGGGGCTTCTTTAATCGCGATTTCGGGGAATTCTGTTGAAATTTAAATTTTAATGGCATATCTTAAAAAGTCCTATTTCATAAAATAATTATTTTCTAAAATTATTTTGGATACCGTATTTACACTGTAAAAAGTTGTATTTTCCAATTTTTATTTTTCAAATTACAAAATCTATATTTTTCGAAATTAAAATTAAGAATCAAATAGATATTAAAGAATGTGATAATTTGAAAGACGAACATAATCCACCCATGGCTGGTGATTTTATCGTTGATGACCTATGTCAACAAGCATAAGAAGTCAACACACGAGCAACTCATGTCAACATCATTGACAAAGAGGAAGTCATGGACGGAACATATAATAGCGGAAGTCCACCACTACTAGATATTGTTCGCTTTGACTTATTACGATGGTTGTTAGCCAAATTCAAAAGATGTACAAAGATCCGTGATTATGTTAGTACTGGATTGTAAAGCAATAAGAGGTGAAATTCTATCGGAGAACTATATATATATATATTTTTGGAGGGAAAATCCAACTTGGAAGGGAGTGAGGCTCTGAAGAACTGTCCGCCGATTGTGAAAGGGGAGGCGCGTGAATTTCTCCGCCTCCCTCTCGCTTAGACAACTGCTTCCATTTTCCGCCATTAACGACCTTCTCTTTCCCCACGCGTCTCTCCTTCTTCATCTCCATCTCTTCCTCTTTCTCTCTCGCTTTCACTCATTCGTTCACTTCACTGGCTTACTCCCTTTCCCCATTTTCTGCTTTTGGGTCATTTCCAGCTCCATTTCAAAGCCACTGCTCTTCATCTCTTTCCCGATCACCCCTCTTCTTAAAGCTTAGCCAAATCCCATCTTCCCACTTCATGCCTCATTGACTAGCAGCGGGTACTGGCTGTTTTCGTGATGTTCAAACTCTTATTCAGTAAGGATGTTCGCAAGATTCTCAAGCGCAAGGATAGCGAATAGGGGTACTTCCTTTCTTGTCCATTTTTTTTTCCGTATTTATCTCTAATATTTCGTTTGAATTCTGGTAGTTTTTCGGATTTCCCCATCTTTTTCGGATTGTGGCTTTTCAATTTCGGCTCCGCATTGGACTCCATTGTTATCTAACTGCTTGTAGATAGAGAAATTAATGTAGAAAGCCCGAGTTGAGAGGTTTTACCTAAATAAAAGTATTAACCATTTCTCAAATAGGCGCTCTCGGTTTCTTTTTCTCTCGTCATGAAGGGCGTCGTGCCTTTGATCAGAGTGGCCAGGGGCTTCGGTACGACCTTTGGTTTTCTGATAGGCATTGTGCTAATGCGTTTGTAGTCAATCAGATCTCGATTTTTCTAAGCCATTTTGTTTTTGAGTACTTAGAAGCCGCTAAGTTAGGGTCTACTGCTCTGTTTTGTGATATGTAACTAAGTGGAAGTATTAAAACTGGTTGCCACTGTGAAATCCTTCTCATTATCTGTTTATCTCCACCATTATCGTGTTCAACTAGTTGCATGTGCCAACACAAAGGCTATCAAACTTTTATACTCTCTGAGTGAAACATCTTACATTGTTGTGGTATTTGATGGAATTGGTTTTGAGAAGTAATAGTTGATTTTAGAAGCCAATTATTTGTGTAGTATAAGATGAAATCAGACATATACCTGATGAAGGTTCTTCAATCATGAAATCTTCGTCTTGTTTTACTTTCCAACTTACATTATTGATCAAATTTGTAATATCAGGAAGATCTCTCGAGGATTTGCGAGGATCGTTATTTAGCAAATTTCGCACGCCGGAAGGTGCCAAGCGTCAGCAGCAACGTTCTTGCAGCCCTTCTGTTGCTCTTACGTTCAATTTCTTTGTTGCAGTTAGTATTATTTTCATGAATAAATTGGTTGGTATTCCAATGCCTATCTAATGTCAATGTTTTACCTTAACTTCCTTGGATTGTCATCTTCCAGCTGGTAACACCGCTGACTGTTTTCGTCGTCTGTGTCTCAGGTGCTTAAGACTGTCGGCTTTACGTTTCCTATATTTCTCAGTTTCATTCACTAT